GAATAAGATAGACTTCTGAATGTGAGAAAGAAGGATTTATGAATTCACAGAATACCACCCCAGGTGTTGTCTCAGTGGTCAGCTCGTCGTTTACTCTGCCTGGAGAAAGATATTGTGAACAGGAGGGGATAAAGGGCCAAGAAAATTAATAAGGAGCCCAAAGCAGTGGAATTAACTGATCTTGCAATGCAGCAAAAATGCAAAGTACTTGGGAATAAAGTGAAAGAGATATGTAAATCTTTTAGAATAAAACTGAAAACTTCTTGTACTCTGTATTGTTGGAGCATCTGCCAACCTATGCCCTTCTTCTCTGAAAATCTCAGTGATCATCCCCTCAAAAAAGAGGAATGTGGCAAATGTGTAAACAGAGGCAGGATAGTGGTTATTTTTCAGCTTGTGGGAGGGGAAGGACTTCCCAATCCTGAAATCACCTGAAGAGACCACACAGGAAAAGATTAACAAATTTAACAACATGAGAATAAAACACTCATGCATCAAAAATACTATAAGGAAATTAAGATGTAAATGAAAAATAATTTGTAACAAATATGACAGAGTTAATATGCTTTAGAAAGAATCCTCCATAAATTAAAAACAGTCTATACAATATAAAAGCAGGCAAGTCACAAGGAAAACAAACAATAACTGTAAGAAAAATCTTTTAAAAATCATAGAAAATCCATTAGAAGATCAAACCTAATACTAAAAGAAAGGAGATTTTTCTAAATCAAAATATAACCCCACCAAAAAAAATCACAAACATTTAAGAAATTTTGTTAAGTCAATAAAGTGGTTTGATAAAATTTTAAAACTTAATGCTGGAGCATAGTGGTACATACTTGTAATCCCAGCACCCAGGAAGCTGAGTCAGAAGAAACAAGAGTGCAGGCCAGCATGGACTATGTAGTGACACTCTGTGTCAATAATAATAATAATAATAATAATAAATAAAAATAAAAAATTATAGTGTGCATTCAAAAAGAATGGAGCCAGCTGAGGTATGGCACAAGTGGTAGAGTGTATACCTAGCAAGTGCAAGGCCTTGAGTTCAAATCCCAGTATTGCCCAAAATTAAGACAAAACAAAAAGAATGGAGCAAAGTGTTAAAGTTTGGAAGCTTAAGAAGGACAAGCTCTAAAATACAGATCAATTTGGGTGGTATGACTTACCAAAATGTAGCCGGGCTCTTCTCCAGCCTGAAAGACATAAAAGGGGATTTTTAAAGCAATGAAGACTTTGAGAACTCCCAGAGGGTGTAGGTGAAGCACAGGAAGAGGGCCTCTCACCTGAATTGGCTGCAGCTCTTTTCAGTTCTATGGAAGAAGCAAAGAAGATGAGCTGTGACTGGAAACATTGGGGCAGCAGGAGAGAAGTTGGTATGGAAGTTACAAAAACGTAAGAAACTTACTCAGTTCACTCCGGAGTTTCTCTAAAGAATAAAAACAGTTGCACGAATCAGAATGAGGGCTACTACCTACCCACAATTCCACTGTCCATCCCACCCACATTCCTACAGCAGATCCACAGAAGCCATAACCTGGGACTGCCCTATAGGAGTGTCTGCAATGGCAAGAGCTCCCAGCTGGAGGCCATGGGTCCTCAGAGATGCAGCAGAGGGTTAGCAAATTCCTATGTGAATCAGACCTTACCTACATATTGAATAAATAATATACCTCACACCTATAGGTAATGACAATATGAATGTATATAGATGTTGTGGGGAAAGAATAAAATATAAGTTCATTTAAAACTATTACTGAGTCTCAGGTTTTGTTATTGCATAAATTTTCTCCATGTAAAATAAAATAGGTATGACACGTCTTCAGATTTTTTTAATGTTATAAAGATAAAATGCTGGTGAAATTCTGCTCCAGCACATTCAGTTTAACAGGGACCTATTTGTCTTAGACCCCACCCAAGGGAATGCCGTGCCTGGGTGATAAAAGGGACATCTGGATGACTTCACCTGTGGGAGGTGTACCTGTTCCCATGTAGAGACTAGAAAATAGTTGTGCAGGAAAGAGAAGCAAAGAACACTTAAGAGACCTTTGAGAGCCAAGAAAGCCCCAATCCTTATAGCCTGAATTGCCCTCTCCCTTCTGCCCCAGGAAGTGAAACTGAGACACTCATCCCAAAGCAGAGATGACAACAGCAGGAAGTTTGTACCACAGATAAGGAGCAGAACTTACTGAGGGCTTTATGGAGTCTTCCTGCAAACCAGAGAGAAAGAGAGAGAGAGGAGTTAATGATTAGGTCCTGCCCTCTATTCCTGGGACCCTGGTTACCCCTCTAACCACCATGATGAAAGGATGTTTCCATCAGTTTCTAATCCAATCCTGGGTCCCAGAGATCAGTCTCAGGAATCCAGTGGTGCTATGCCTTACCCGATGATCCAGCCTGCTCCAGACTTTGGTTCCTCCTTTTCCTTCCTTTTTGTCTGTCTGGTTTCAGTTCTGCTCTCTGTTCCCATGTGTTTGTATGTGAGGGTATATATGCCTTGCTTCCCTTTTGTAGCCTACAGTTTATGATATCTGAGGTGTAAAACTAGCTAAGGGCCTCACATTGACTTATTAACCCATGGCTTTATAATTCTCTACAGAGACTCCCTGAAGTTACGTTTTTCACAAATTTGGAGGTTCCAGAAGATTTGGGGACATATGTGTGTGCTTCATATGATTTGGAGAAGTACTTGTGGTATCTCTGGAGGGGCCACCTGACCCACATGTTCCCCTGTCTTGCATTGGCCCTGACAGAGTGAAGTCATATACCTGAGTCCACTACCAGGCCCTATGCTAAGGGCTGGCTGTGGGCTAGGGATTTAGCTCTGGAGCAACAAGGCTGACTATTTCACAGCTCCTCTGGAGCATATGGCTTATTGCTCCCATTTCTACTACTAACAACTTCCCTTGGCTGTATCCTGTCCTTGACCAAAGTAGACACTGAATCCTCACAACGTGAGGTGTGTAGAATTATTCCTGTTTTCCAGAGGGATGCTCTGAAACTCAGAGCAACATAAAATATGTGCAAAGTCATTCAGCTAGTAAGTGACTAAGGAGGCAAGCTTCACACCCAAGTCTGTCTGATTCCTAAGTCAGAGGCCCTCACCATTACACTACATTGCTCCCTTCCACTCTCGAGCAGAATGGCCGGAGTGTCTGCAGGGTGAGCCTCAAACTTTCATCAGCTTGGAGAAGATATAAGGGAATAGGAGAGGAGAGCCTATCATTGAAGAGAACCATCTAAACCAGTGACTTGTCTTCCCAGATAACTTTCAAAAGGATGTCTGACTTTTACCATCAGTGGTCCACAGCACAAATCAAATTAATGAAGATGAGATTGCAATAAGGGAAAGGAGTGACATAAACTGTGATAGGTTTTTTGTTCTTATTTTTTTTAAAGGTTTTCTCTTTTAACACTATGACCAATCAGTAAAATGACTTATTACCTCCATTTTACAGATGAGGAAACCAAAGCTCAGGACAGTACAGTGATATATTCAAACCTAGTAAGTGGCAGACCAGTGAGCTGAGTCAGGTGTGGCTGACTCCAGAGCCTGTTGTCCTTACTTTGTATCACGCCACTTCTCTCCATGATAACATTGTGTGGATTCTTGAGACTCTCATGCACCACCCCCCACACATGACCATATATGGTCATATATTTAAATAATATGTAGACTTCCTTTTTAAGTGATTGGTAGGAAGGCTGATGAAGGGAGCTTGTGATGGTCCAGACCTATGCATTTTGATCATGGGTATCTCCCCACCCACCGCCACAAACTCATAGCCCCTTGATGTTGGAAACTAAATTCCAGTCATATTGAGAGACTATCAGTATTCATGTATATAGAGAAAGAACACATTGTGTTCCCTACTTCTCACTCTTTACATATAATTACCCTTTTCTTTTGCATGGTCTTCCAGAAGATTTTCTAGAGGGAAAATAAAAGGAAAAGGCAATGAAATTCTTTGCTGTTTCCTTGAGGGTCCCTGATTCCATTGGTTTTATCTGCTCTTGAATCTGTCCACCTCTGACAATCTTCACCTCCACTTCCCTGATTCAGTCTGTCATCATCTCTCATCCTGACGACAGAAATGGAAACCTAAGTTATTTCCTACAGCCTATCCTACTATCTCTGGTCTCTTCTCAACATGTAGCTAGAGAGAGATTTGAAAGCACAGTTCTGATTGGAAAATTCCCCTTCATTTCTTTACTATTGCTTTTAGGAGAAACACTAGAATTCTTAACGTGTTCCACAAGGCCTCTCATGACCTAGCCAGGTCACCTATCCCCTCGCTTTTGCTTTCTGCTTCTCACATAAGTACTGCTCTCCCTGACCATGCTTCTTTCTCAAGCTGTTCTTTCTACTGTGAATGGTTTTCCATTCTCCCTTCACACATGACTTCCAGCCCTTCAGGTTGAACATCACATTCTTAACCCTCAGCTTGGTTAATTCCTTCTGGTCCTAACCTTCACAGAACTGGGAACTTTCTTTTGTGGTATTTGTACACATTTGTTTATGTAATTATTTAATTTGTGTAATCTCCTTAGCTGGACTGAAAGTTCCAAAAGGGCAGAGACAGTGGATGCTTTTGCTCACCATGGGGCTCCCAGAATCTAGTGTGGTCAAAGGTATTTAGTAGATAATTATTAATTATTTATTGAATGAATAAAAGCTACTCCATGTTTAGCTGGGCACCAGTGGCTCATGCCTGTTGTCCTAGCTACTCAGGAGACAGAGATCAGGAAGATCTCAGTTTGATGCCAGCCCAGGTTAATAGTTTGCAAGACCCTATCTCGAAAAAAAAAATCACTAAAAAGGGCTGGTGATGTGGCTCAGGTTGTAGGTCCTGAGTTCATGTCCCAGTACTACAAAATAAAATAAAATAAAAAATGAAAAAAGAATGAGCTCACAGACAAAACCACCAAACCTACTAGAAGGCAAGCTATGACAAGTAAGTGCTAGTAAAAACTGGAAATGATGGCTTTAGATACCATCGCCACCACTAAGGACAGTAGATGATACAACATTCAGGTACAGAATTTAGAATAGTGGGCACTGGGGATACAGAAATCAACAAAATAGTGACATCTCCCCCACCCCAACCTAGGACACTTACCCACCTCCATTGCCTGTTCATAGAGAAGCTTCTCTAGAAGGGGAAAAGAGAGATAGAGAAGGGTCAGCCTTTTCTAACAAGCATCGTTGTCCAAAGATGGCCCAAACTGCTTGAGTAGGAGTGACTCTGTCACTATAAGTATGTGACCATTTGAAAATATTAGAAGTGACCTGGGTATGTGACTCATGTAGAATGCTTGCCTAGCATGTGAGACCCTGGATTTGAACCCCAGCACTACAAAACAGAGAAAGAAAAAGAGAAGAGAGAGAGAGAGAGAGAGAGAGATCAGAGATCAGAAAGTCTTCAACACTTCACAGAGAAGTGTTGGATTATGTAACTTTCCAAGTCCTTTGCAACCATGAGATCCTGTGAAATGTGACCATTTGGATGAGGAGCTTATCCAGTAAACATAACTGGATTTCCTGATTAGAAAGCTCTAATTTCTTAGTTAATTAGAAAGCTGGTATGGTTAGTTATTGTCTAATTTCTCAAAGGATGAGAATTCACAGCTCTGCAGTTTATTTAATTCCTTCTGCAATGTGAGTCCCCGGGGCACATCTCTACCAGTTTTCTCCCAGCCACCCTGCAGTGTTTCCAATCTATGGATAAATGTCACATCTGCACCTACTTCCTTCTAGTCTTTTCCCAGAGTAGTCATAATCCCATTTCCTGCCAGCCTGGGCACCCTTACCACCGAGTTACCTTTTGATCTTCTTTGCTTCCAGATGAGACAAATGCCTGCTATGATGAGAAGCCCTAGGACAGGCAGGACCACAGCCAGAACCACTGCTGAGAGGGAGAACCTTCCAGGAGATGGGGCTGAAACAGAGACCACAATGACCACCCTCAGGGAAACTTCAGAGAGCTACTCCCTGCCTCCATAGCAAATGACTCAGACACATCCTGACTGTTGCCATCACTCTAGGTAGAGACCCCAGCCAAAACTGATGAGGCTCTTTGCTTCTCTTGGAAGCTCACACTGTGGGTGACATTTAAAGAGCAATGAAATGTTTGTGTTTCTGTAAGGGTTTCAGTGGTCCTGCTTGAAGACAAAGTTTAAACAGCTTCTCAACCACAATTTTGTCTTGACCTCCAATGCCATGGAAAAATTATCCAGGAACTTCAGAGACCTGAAAGTATGCTCCTTAATAATCACCCCAGCCTCTTATAAGTACCCACCTTCCTCCCCCTCAACCCTCGCTCTGCTCTGGACCAGCAGTGAACAGCTTCTCTGCCTGAGCACCATTGGCATGGGCAAAACAAGCTCTAGGTGTCGAAGCAGCAGGCCTGAAGTCCAGGCAGGAGAGAAAGGAGAAAAAGAGAATTATGACAAGTAGTGGAGAGTACAAGTGACAGTGGTCCTTACTCAACCACTGTGTGACCCTAGGCAAGAAACATTCCCCTCCAGCCTGGTTTACCTCATCTCTAAAATGGGGATGATAAGAATCCCTGTCTTCTGGGCCTTGGGGGCAATTTAAAGGGGTCAGATTAAACACCTAGTGAAGGGCAGTGGCAGTAGTAACAGAAGAGGGGAGTGGCACAGAGAAATGAAAAAAGAAAGGATTTGCAGATTTTCATGACCTCTCTGCATCATAGCCACAGTCTATGTTTCTCTGCCCTAAAACCACAGTTCCCTAGAGTAGGCATAGTGGTTCATAGCTATAATCCCAGCCACTTAGGAAACAAAGATGGGAAGATTTCGGTTCAAGGCCAACTCCAGGCAAAAACTCAAGACCCTATCTCATAAAGGGCTACAGTCGTGACTCAAGTTGGTAGAATGCTTGCCTAGCAAACTCGAGGCTATGAGTTCAAATTTTGGTACTGCCAAAATACAAAAGCAAAAGCAACTTTTCCACATAATTCTCTACCATATGACTCCATGTTTCAAGGATCAACTCGACTTCAAAAACACATTCTAAGAAAATAATCAGACTTCCCAAATATGTGCAGAGATGTTTATTGCACCATTAGCTATAATATGAAGAAAAATATTCAGATGCCCAGCAATGGGCTTTGATTAATTTTTATTAACCTATAGCCACACAGTGAAATTCTATGCAGCCCCTTAAATCATGTGATAGAGAATTACTTAAGGACATGGGAAAAACTGCTCATGACATGAAAAGTGAGGGGAAAAAAAATCCAGGCACAAGAATACATATACACACATAAACATATGTACACTATTCAGATATGTGCACATAGACATTTCTTGAAAGAAATACCCCAAAATATTAGCAGTTCTCTACAATTGATGAGAGCACAGTCCATTTTTTTATTTCTTTAGTATATATTTTTTTCAAGTTTCCTACAATATATGTATTTTATTCTTAGAATTAAAAAATTTCAAAAATTCTTTCTAATGTTTTCTCTAGAGTAGGGAATTATCCAGATTCATCAGGCGCCTCAAGCTTGTTTTCCAACCCAACTTTTACCTGCTATGACCATTGCTGTGGTCTTCTCTTGACCAAGGACCTCATTGCGGACAGTACAGGACACATTCCCCAAAGTGCTGTCCCTGACTCTGCTGGATACTGCTGTTTGGAAGAGCCCAGTTTCATCCAGAGAGTGGGCCTCTGACAGGGATAGAAGCACCTTGCCCTTAGGGTCTCTCCACTGTATCCAAGGCTGTGGGAACCATCCCATTGAGCGGCACACCAGTTGGATCCACCCAGCATCATAGCCCTTCACGTGGATGTAAGGATCAGAGCCTAGAACTGGAGAAAAGAGACTGACTGCCTGGCTGGACCAGCCTAGAAACAGACTTCCAGGGCCTCTACCATGGCATGGCTCTTGCCAGATTCCCTGCCCCCACCCCCAGTCTCCTCTGTGGAACATGGGCAGCTGCTAACAGAACCTTAATGTCTGCCCTCTCCCCACCCTCCTTTCCCTTCCCAATGGAATAGATAGTCTCTAGTTTATCCAAATACATTTCAAAATCCACCCCTAGCAGGGGTGGATTCTGCATCAGGCGATTATGATTCTTTTGGACACCTCAGTCCCCTTTTAAAAATTAGTTGTAGGAGCTGGGTGCTGGTGGCTCATCCTGTAATCCTAGCTACTCAGGAGGAAGAGATCAGGAGGATGGCAGTTTGAAGCCAACTCCAGGCAAATAGTTCACAAGACCCTGTCTCGAAAAAAACCCAGCACAAAAAACAGGGCTGGTCACTGACGAATGGATTAAGAAAATGTGGTATCTATACACAATGGAATTTTATGCAGCCATGAAGAAGAACGAAATGTTATCATTCGCTGGTAAATGGATGGAATTGGAGAACATCATTCTGAGTGAGGTTAGCCTGGCCCAAAAGACCAAAAATCGTATGTTCTCCCTCATATGTGGACATTAGATCAGGGGCAAACACAACAAGGGGATTGGACTATGAGCACATGATAAAAGCGAGAGCACACAAGGGAGGGGTGAGGATAGGTAAGACACCTAAAAAACTAGCTAGCATTTGTTGCCCTTAATGCAGAGAAACTAAAGCAGATACCTTAAAGCAACTGAGGCCAATAGGAAAAGGGGACCAGGAACTAGAGAAAAGGTTAGATTAAAAAGAATTAACCTAGAAGGTAACACCCACGCACAGGAAATCAATGTGAGTCAATGCCCTGTATAGCTATCCTTATCTCAACCAGCAAAACCCCTTGTTCCTTCCTATTATTGCTTATACTCTCTCTACAACAAAATTAGAGATAAGGGCAAAATAGTTTCTGCTGGGTATTGAGGGGGGGAGCGGGAGGGGGTGGAGTGGGTGGTAAGGGAGGGGGTGGGGGCAGGGAGGAGAAATAAACCAAGCCTTGTATGCACATATGAATAATAAAAGAAAAATGAAAAAAAAAAAAAAAAACAGGGCTGGTGGAGTGGCTCAAGCAATAGACCACCTACCTCGAAAGTGGAATGCCCTGAGTTCAAGCCCCAGTACAGAAAAAAAAAATTACTTGCAGGACTGGTGATGCAGTTCAGTGGGAGAGCACCCTGGCTTCGAAACCCAAGCACCTCAAAAAAAAAACAAATAAAACTTAGCTGGATATGACAGCACATGCTTATAATCCCAGCACTTAAGAGGCTGAAGTAGGAGGATCGTGAGTTCTAGGTCACCCGGGGCCATATAGTGAGATCCTGCCTCAAAAAAAAAAAAAAAAAAAAGGCAAAACAAAGCAAAACACTTAGATCTCAAAGGATTCCATATTTAGAAAAAGTCCTTCTACCAACTTTTGGATGTTTTAAAAGGAATTCATTGTCCCCCTCTTTTTGACATGTGACTACATGATGACCAAAAGATAATCAGCACATGACCACAGGGAGTGGTATCACTCAAGCAAATGCAGACTTGGACTGGGCTGGGTTGAATTGGATTGGGCTTTTGGTAGGCTGATATTTTAAAAAATAGTGAAGTGAATTTGAGAAAGTCTATCTCTACCGCCTGGCTTTTCAACTACTCAGGAACCCCAAGAGAGAACTATGAAGAACATCCTTGAAACCGCTGGGAATTCTGGCCCTTGAGGACTTTTCCTTGCAGCCATTGTTATGAGTTCCTCCATTATGCAGCAAAGAGAGCTGTCTCCGAGAAGGAAAGCTATTGTCTGAGACAAGCCTTACAGGCCACTAGTTGTATTTATCCAGGACCTGCATGGTACAGTATTCCCCAAAGTCCCACTTCCTCATCAGACAGGCCAGAGTCACGGGCTCCCCTGGGTTCTGTTGGGTAAGGCTGAGCCATCCAGGCAAGTAAAAACTGCTTGCAGATGACAGAAAAGCCTAAACACAGAGGGACAAGGTAGATCCTGAAAAAGAACATCCAATGGCCACAAATGCCCCGGGCACCTCAGATCCATTCTAACCTGCAACCTGCAGGGTCACGGCGCCCTCTCGACTCAGGTTTCCGATCCGAATCTGACATTGGTAGGGCCCTCGATCCTCAAGGCTCACATTGCGGATCTGCAGAGCGACACTTCCCTCTTGGACATCTCTCACCATCGCCGTCCTGCCCTTATATTGCGGCATCAGATCCTCATCCCTGTCGGTCCCATCCCGGAACACGTGGACAGCGTGGGAGCGCTGCAGGTGTGAGGGCCGCTGCCACCTCACCTCCTCGGGCACGGTCACCGGCCAGAGCGAGAGAGGGCAGAGCAGCTCGGCGGTGCCCCCTAGCGGGGCCATATGGAACCTGCCGGCATCCCCTGTGAGGGACCAACAAAAAAAAGACATAACCTGGTATCTGAAGAAAGAAACTTGGGGAGAGATGTGGGAGAAAGAGCTTGGGAAAGAATAAAAAGGGTTTCTTGGGGAAGGACAGAGCCTAGGAAGGGCCCTGGAAAGGATTGGTGGAAAAACAAAGACCCAAAGAAGTAAGTTCTTGGGTCAAGCTCTGTGTTCTGGAGACTCCATCATCAGACTTCCCAGGCAGGGAAAGAGGTGCCTAAAATCCTACCTGACACTTGTGCAGATAGCTGGAGAAAGACGAGGGTGACGAGGCAGCTGGGGATCCAGGAACCAGTGGAACTAGCCATTTCCTTCCGAACTAGGACAGACAAGGGAAGAGGGCTGGTGAGCCTGACCTGAGAGAGGATAGAAGCTAGGAGCTGGGACTGAAATCCAGGTCATCTAGCTGGCTTCCAAGGCCAACTCCTCTGCTTACCCTCTTGTGATGTTGTGAGTGAACTCTAAAACTGTTTCTTCATCTTTAAAATGAGAGTAATAGCCACACCTCCTTATAAGGCTATTGTGGAGGAGGGGAGGTAAGTACTCACACAGAGGCTGGCCTACTGTTCAGTCTGCAATCGTAGTGAAGTAGGATGATGGTGGGGATGAGATGATTGGATGCTGCATGTGATTTAGAAAGCAAAAGAGGGAGTCTGGAAGAACAAGAATTTATACCCAGAACCAACTAAGTAAGTACTGGTCAGAGTACGGGCGTCTTTTTGCATTTAGTGTCCAGTATGGAAAGTGTCTGTTTTGAGCCAGTCTCCATCCATGATGTAGCCTGGACCTCTTCCCTGACAGCCTTTCAAGTTGACACATAACTAGCCAAGGCTGTGAGTTCTCTCCATTTCACCATGAAGGCACTAATCCTCCAAAGTCAGGGTCTGGAGTGAGAAGGACCTGGGTTCAAATCTTGGCTATTTCCATTTACTAGTTCCATGTCCCTAGGAACGTTGTGTGACATCTCTGCCCCTCAGGTACTTAACCTATGAAGGGGGGGGCCTTCTTCACAGGTGAGTGGGAGGATTCAAAAAAAAGACTCTGGCAAAGTGCTGGCCACAGATGCCTGGCAGAAGAAATGTGTATACAGTGTTATTACTGCTGAACTGAAGGAGTACAATCCATCCCTAGGAGGTGTAGATCACTGTTGTGCACTAACCACAGGAGATCCTGAGACTTCCCTACTGTTAAACTTTGTCCCCTGAAATTCCTTCAGAAGGAAACAGAAAGCCTCAGTGAGGATAAAGTGTGCAATATAAACACACTAGGAAGACTTAAGTCTCTCAAATTCTCTCCACCTTTTCACTTTCATTCCAAAGAGAAGGCTTTTGTAGAAGGCAGCAATCTTAGTCCCAGAAGGTCATGGATTGGTCAAAGATTGGATTTAGAGAGGGTGTCAAAAGGGAGATTGGGTGCCAAAAATGAATTTACTTTTTTTTTTATTTTTTATTGTTTTATTATTCATATGTGCATACAATGCTTGGGTCATTTCTCCCCCCTGCCCCCACCCCCTCCCTTACTACCCACTTTGCCCCCTCCCTCTCCCCCTCCACCCCCTCAATACCCGGCAGAAACTATTTTGCACTTATGCCAAAAATGAATTTAAACATGTTTTGAACATCCAGTTCTCTTCTTCTTATGGCAAAAAGCACTCCAGTTTAGGATTGTTTTTGTTTTTTAACCAGGATCACACAACACACCTCTATAATCCTGAAGTGTTGCAAATGACAACATAATCTGAGATTAGGATTACATCAAGACTTTTCCCCACTCTGCCTCTACCCCTTGAGCCATTCCACCAGCCTACCCTCTTTCTACAGGTTATCAACTACACAGAAACTGAACAAGAAAAGTTAAGTAAATTAGAAAATTTCTCTACTTAATCAAATTATGATTGAAATCAGAAATAACCACAGCCCAGGATATTTTGGAGTTATCCACAACTCCCAAACCCTTCAAAATTTTAGTGATTTTGAAACATACCCTGAGTAGACATGTCCAGAGTGACCCTGAGATCCCAGCTGAACAAGGGCTGCCTGAAGTCAAATAAGAGAAGATTTCTGGGACCAGTATTCTTAGGCTCAATTGATAAGGTGGCTAGGAAGGTGGGTCCTAGAGCCACCCTGGGTTCCAGTCTTAGCTCTCCCATTTCCTAGCTGTGGCCTTGGACAGGTTAGTTTACTTCTGCAAGCTTCCTGTCACTCACAGAGGAAATAAAGTTAATAATTGTACCTACCTTGTAGATAGGATTATAATAAGGATAAACAAATGCATGGAAAATGATTTGCATTGGATCCTGAAAATAAAAAGCAAATGAAGTCCTTCTATCTATCAGGTTGTCACTTTGTGTAATCAGGGTAATTGAGGTGACTTCAGGAGGGAGTATCCCTGAAGCATGTCACCAAGCTGATGAGTAATGGCAAGTAGCTTGAGAAACACACTAACTTAGAAGAGGATTATGTCAGAAGTAGGGTGCTCATGTTCTAGTCATCAGACAAATGCAAGTGAAAACCATGGTTGCATATCATTTGTCTTCCTTTCAACTATCAAAGTTTAGTTAAAAAAAAAAACAAAACAGTAATAGCCAGAATCATCACACAAGTAGACAAATGGGCTCTCTTGACCATTACTTAACAACTTTCACAAAAACAATTTAGTCACAAGTATCAAACAATTTACAGACATTCAAAAGTTTTGATCCAGCAATTTCACGTCCAGAAAAGAATCCTTAGAAAATAAATTAGGATGTGTGTAAAGATTGGATGGGGAGCATTCTGGTCACAGAGTTATTTACAAAAGGGAAAAACTAGGAGCCGGGGACATAGCCCAGTGGTAGCGCTTTTGCCTAGCAATAACGAAGTTCTGGGTTCCACCCCCATACTATAATAAATAAATAAATGGGGAAATTGAAAACAACCTAAAAGTCTCTTAAAAAGGGAATGGTTAACTACTTTCCTGCAATGGAAAACCACCCAGCATTTACTAACTGCATGGTAGAACAATTTTAAAAGCCCTGTGAAATTGTCACTGTGTCCCAACAGTATGTTTTTTAAAACTATGTATAGTATGATACAATTTGGAGGGAAACACTTGAAAAGAGGCAAGAATGTAGATGTTAGTCATCTCCTGGGGATGGGGAGAGGTTTACAGGTGATCCTTATGGGCTTGCAAGTTTGTTGTCCTTTACATTTTCCAAATTATCTACCTCAAACATATATCCCTTTCATTATCAGGAAACAAATCTATTAAAAGGAGGAGGAGAAGCATGACCAGGAAAAAAAGGAGGAGAAGAAGCAGCAGAGCTGGAGATCCTCACTCACTCTATGACATGAAGCTGAAGCCACAGCTGCTCAGCCACAGCTTTTTGCCAGGAGAGCATTGAGTGGAAAATGAAGAAGTACAACCAGGTCTTTTATTTCTATTTTCTTATGGGCATAAGAATCATTTGGTCACCACGTGGATCTCCAGAAATTTGTTCTTTTGACCTGGTTGTCCAGAATGGTCCCTTTCTCCATCAAGTTCTCATGTAGTATAGGGTATCAGCATTAATCATCAAAATCATCATAATGTTAGCATGAGATTGAATTAGCAGGAGCTCATAAGCATATTCTAAATTGTAATATTGTTCTTTATTAACAATAGTTCCTATTTACTGCATCTTAAGTACTTTACTTACATTGTCATCAGTCTTGACAACAACTCTGAAAATACACATTGTCCCCTTTCCACTTACAACAGGAGAGGCAATCACATACATGTCAGGGTACGGTGTACGTGAAATTGCCAGGACCCTTTCTGGAAAAAGAATGTGAAACATCAAGAAATAGAGGCATGAATGCATGCATGCATGAATGAATAAGAGAAGGAATGAATGAATACATAGCTTTGTATTACAAATTTAAAAACTTTACAGTGCCTATCACAGAATTCCTTTATGAAGAAATTGCCCTTAATAAGTACAAAATATAATTTCACTTCATAAAGTTCAACATAGATGACACAATTTGGGACTTTTTCTGTCTTACTGTAAGAAAATCTGGGAACTATCTCACCTGCCCCCCACCGCTGTGACAAGAAATTCTAAATCATCTATAATTCCTCCACCCAGATATAACGTTCTTGAAATCTTTTTCTATGAAAGTATATAACCTTTAAAGAAAAAACAGGACCATATCTATTGTTTTGATACCTGATGGGCTCATTAAGCTCTGTATTACTTACATTTTCTATTCCAGCCAGTATTCTCTTAAGGGCTCCAGTGCCCATCATGGACTTGTGAGAATGTTTTATGTTCCATACTGTTGGGTACTTAGACTGTTTTCCAACCTGTTGTTACTCTGAACATTTCTACAAGTGACAGTGCACTGATGGCTGGAATCAACAAGCTGAATCCTACTGGTGGCATGGTCCCTAACTAGCTGTGTGACTTTGTAATTTTAAGCAAGTCACTTAAACTCTTAGGCTTTGAGTTTCCCAACTTTAAAACAGGAAGACTTTAAATTTTCACTGCCAAGATGCCCTCCAGAAAGGTCAGATCAATTTACTAAAGGATGTGAAATTGCTTGTTTTCACACAACCTTGTGGATATTATCAATTTTTTAAAATTTTGTCCATTTGATGACAAAATGGTACGTGTTTTCTACAAGTTTAAAAATTTGACGCATTTCATTTTCATTTGTATTTCCTAACTACTCAAGAAAATTCTAAATATTCATCAAAATTTTGATAAATTTTTTAAATTCTAAAAATTTGATGACATTTCATTTTCATTTGTATTTCCTTTGTTTCATTTCATTTCATCATCTTGCTGTTGGGAAATTTGGCTCTTAATGGCTTGCAAAATTCTTCATATAGTAATTATGCTTTTCCCACTACAAATATTGGAATTATGTTCCCCCCCAGGAAGTCATTTACATTTTAATTCTGAAACAGTTTAATTTTTAAAACTTCTAAATCAGTAAAAAGACTGCAGCAGACATTCCCTGCCAATGCCAGACAGTTTTAGGAGATCCTGTCAGTTTATAAATGATCGATTAGAAATTACACAGCAGAGGACCCAGCAAATAGTAAGGCTAATTACATGTTAGTTATAGCATTAATAATCATGACTAATAATTAAGTACTTAGACAAAACCCGTCCAACTATCATCTCTTGTCTTCTTTTGTGTTCCTTAAGAGATAGCTAACCATTGCCCTTTTCCGTCCTTTAAGATGTTCTTGTAAAAAGAATTATTTCTCTACTGATCCTAAGAAAGTGGAAGAACTAAAAAATAATTAGGAGAAGGGAGAAAGAAGAGAACTCACCAACTTTGAATTAGAGACCCTTGTCCTTCAGCTGCTGAGCTGGAGTCTCCAGGCTGGGAATTCCTTCCCCCATGCAGAGAGAAATGGCATCAGGCAGGCCCAGGAAAAGCCCATATTATATTCTAAAGACCAAAGCCCCAAGCCAGGGGTTCCCTCTGCCCCACAGGCGGCCTTCTTGCTACCCCTATAAACAAACAAGCAACGCCCTGTCTGTCTGTCCCTGATAAAGGAACAGAGCAGAGAGGAGGCTCCCAAAAGAGAGAGAACCACCCTTGGCTCCCTCGTCCTCATTATAACTGCCAGTATTTCCTCTCTCTGGTATTATTTGATCCTATCCCACCTTTTCTGAAAAGCTTGCTCCCCTTTACTTTTCAAATCAGAGTACATTAGATCAATTTCAATTCATTTTGAAAACACTCACCAACAAGCCACATTCTTCAACTCAGTACCTTTATCTCCAGCTACACTATGGTGCACACTTTCTGACAAGTTACCTTGCTCACTGTCACTCAACATGTGATAAATTTTTGCTTTCATAATATCTATCATGTATATTCCTAACACCCATAACTTTATCCTTGACAATACATCATATACTTATATGAATTTGAACTTCATGAAGATGCACCCATTGTATGGGATTTCCTTTTTTTCACTCAATGTTAAGAGGATAGCAAATTCCTGTGGTGGCACACACCATGTCCTCTCAGGTCACCCAGCTTCAATGTAGGTGATTCAGCATGCCAATTGAAAGGCCACAGCATCTATTTGCTTACCTTTCTTAGACTTTCTACAAAACCTTAGGCTGTTAGCCTATTTGGCAGCTCAGGAGTTTGCTGGAGTTAAAGCCCTAGGAGCATGGACCATCAGTGATAAACCAATGGAAAATGCTCTGAGCTGTATTCTACCTGATCCCTCCATCAGTTCCCTGTGGCACTGAGCACCTTAGCTCAGTCAGAAACAGCTTCTTTTCTTCTCACTCCTATTTCTGCTTCCTAGGATCAATTCCTAAAGAAACTCTTGCATGGAAGGACTTGTTTCCCACTCTGCCTTGGAGTGGGAGAGGAGGTACAAATTAAGACATTGATATTCATGCAATGTGCAAGCCCCTAGGTTCTATCCCCAGCCCCACACACAACAAAAAAATCTCCTCACACATTTGTCACTTATTTGTTTTGGGAAACTTTAAACTCTTCTCTTCTAGTTATATTGAAATGCATAAGAAATTGTTGTAAACTATATTTACCCTTCTGTACTGAACACTGGAACTTATTCTTCCTATCTAACTGTATTTTGGTTCCTATTAAGCAACCTTTCTCTATGCCCTTTCCCCCCCAAGATTTAATTTCTAATATGGCAAATTTCAAAAGTACATCACACACATAACTGAAACTCTTTGGAGTCCCCAATAATTTTTAGGAGTACAAAGGTTTCCTGTCAGTATATATCTAGAAATGGTATTGCCAAGGTGCAAATAATGTAAAATTGTGTTCCAAAGTGAGTGTACCAATTTATAATTTCTCAAGAAACACTTTATCAGATAATCTAAATCACATTAGAAAATGGATTTCTGGGCATGATAGCACAGGCCTTTAATTCCAGCTACACAGGAGGCGGAATAGAAGGATCTCCATCTGAGGCCCAAAAGCAAGACCCTGAAAAATAAATGAAAGCAAAAAGAGCTGGTAGTGTGGCTCAAATGGTGGTACCAGGCCCTGAGTTCAATCCCCATTCTGTCAAAGAAGAAAAAAGAATATCTTCTCTTAAATTTTCTTTTTGTGCTTCTAACCCCGTAAGTGAAAAAGATATAGATGCAGCTATCACTCAGAATCTCAGAATCTAGCAATAACCTCTATATTATTTTAACTCCCACACCCTTTTTTCCCAAGACTTTAGGCCATGTTATACAAAATAATGAATAAATTATATTTTTACTTAAATGTATTTGTAATGATTTTAATCTCAACAATTATATCTTGATTTTGTTCTCAATTTTTAAAATTTACTTTAGGGAGAAGCTTATAATCCTTTTTGTTATTAACCACAGGTCAAAATACAAATGTTAAATCATGATCTTTCTTGCTTGCTTGCTTTCCTTCTCTCTCCCTCTCTCTCTGGGTTTTTGAGACAGGGTTTTGTTATGTAATCCATGCTGGTCTTGAACTCTCTATGGAAACCCAAGCTGGTTTCCAGCTCTCCATCCTTTTACGTCTGTTTCCCTAGTGCTAGGATTTACAGGCATGATCACCACACCCAGCCATGCTCTGTGTTAAAGGGGAGACAGAGCTCTGGACTTCCAGTTAAATAAACATGGTTCATTGAACACAAATGCTTATCTCTTTCTCTTGAAATCCCACCAAAATGAAATTCTTGGACTAAAAATGGAAAAGCCTATAAAGACAAAGAGAATAGGACAGGAAACAACTGTAGACCAGAGTTTCAGTACATTTTTGAATAAAGGGAAGCAGATGGATGACTAGTAATTGACTTTGTAAAAACAGGAATCCAGCCCAGGTGCCTGCAGGACTGGGGGCATTAACAAGAAGAAAGCAGATTCTCAACTGAGAACCTTCCAGGCTTGGGATGGATGAGACCAGGGCCTGGCTCTACCTCACTGGGTTGTTGTAAAGACTAAATGAGCTGAGATACATCAAATATTTAGAACAGTGCTTGACACCCTATGAGTGGGGGCCATCACTATTATCTGAGGAAAGACTCCAACCTGAAACCAGAAATCAAAATAAACAAGACAACCTAGCCAGTAGAAGAAAACAGCAGAAAATTACAATTAATGCCCTCATAATATGAAATAAGAGAAGATCCTGAATTCATGATGGAAGAGCAAAAGGCTACCAAAAGAAAGTCGGAGAACAAGGAAAGCTATTGACAATTAAAATTTTGCTGGGCAAGTAGCTCAGTGGTAGAGCACTTGGTTAAGCACATGTGAGGACTGGGTTGAATTCTCAGCATCAAAAAAAATTATAGTAGAATAGAAAAAATTCAAAAGAAAAACTAGAGGATACAGTTCAGGAAACTCTATCAAAGAGAACAAAGAAAACCAAGAAATAGAACACAGGAGAGAAAAGATTGAAAAATAGGAGCTGGGTATGGGGCACATCTGTAATCCTAGCAGTCAGAAGGCTGAGGCAGAAGAATTCAGAGTTTGAGGCTAGCCTGGGCTACAGAGCAAAACTCTGTCTCAAAAAATAAAAGTAAAGGTAAAAAATAGGGAACTGCTCCCAAAGGATATTGTCCAGAATTGAAGATGATATTTCTTGATTGAGAAGGGCCACATGAATGAAAATGGTTTACAGGATACATTATTATGAAAGCTCAGAATGCCAAGGATAAAGAGAGGAAAATAATCTAAATGCTCCAGAAACAAATGAACGAACAAAATTTACATAGGAAAGAACAGAAATCAGAATAAACCAGATTTATCAAGGGTGTAGCGTGAGAAGCTAGAGGACAACGAATCAATGCCTTTAACATTGAAACATATATGTCATAAATAGAAATAGCTCATACAAAAATATGGGCTGGGATGTAACTCAGTGATAGAGTGTTTGCCTAGCATTTGCAAGGCCCTGGATCCAAGCCCCAGCACCAAAAAGAGATAAAAAAAATAGGCAATTTTTTTTACTTCAGAAAGTAGCTCAGCAAAGCAAATAAAAACTGAATATAATCATATACACTCTATACCTCATCTATAAAAATATTCCATATTTGTATTAATGTAAGTTCTGACTGGTAATTCCACCAACCAGTAAATTCTGCAGCTTGGCCAAGAGTGCACTGAAGGTCACAAAAGACAGAAAGTGTACACTAATGGAGGAAGAAATAGAAAAGGGACCTTGAATGATGGTGTTCAGCCTCGACATGCACCCCCCCTGGATCCAACCTTCACCTTCCTGATGAAGAACTCTAAGCCCCCTGGGCATGGTGGTGCATGCCTGTAATCTCAAAAGCAGGAGGCAAAGGATGGAAGATCACAGTTCAAGGCCAGCAAGAGGTACATAACAAGACCCTGCCTCAGAAAGAGAGAGGAAGGAAGGAAGGAAGGAAGGAAGGAAGGAAGGAAGGAAGGAAGGAAGGAAGGAAGGAAGGAAGGAAGGAAGGAAGGAAGGAAGGAAGGGGAGGGAGGGAGGAAGAGAAAGAGACAAAAAAAAAAAAGAGCATAGAGACAGCCATATAGAGAGCCCAAACCAGGATTCTCTGGTCCTATACCTCCCTGGAGGATATAATCACTACTTACTGAAAAACTCTTCATACCTATCACTCTCAAAATGATCCCCTTTCCTTCCAACACACGCACACACGCACACACGCACACACGCACACCTCTACCTCTTCCTCACTCCTCTCCAAGCCAGCTTGCCACACTTTTATCAGTCACTCAGTGGCACTGTTACAGACGATAGAGGGTTTGAGGAGGAGGTCTCCAAAAGGGAGGAAACCTCTACTTGGACCATCAGTAAGTACCAAGTTTGTGATATTGTCACAAAAAAGAATTTGAGAACACGTCAAGATAGAGACCAAGAAAGTTTATTAGTAAAGCAAAGCAAAGAAAGGATAGTATACAACCCAGAAATGAATGCAGGCACATCTGATAACAGGTGCAATGAGTGCTCTGATATCAGGGGTATTTATGGTGAAAAAGTGGGATGTGGGGTTGGCTTAAATTCACTGTAGGATAAGTGCTCCCCTTTGTTCTCAACACCTGATACATTTAATCATTCTAGCTGTTACACTGTTATGAATTGAGCTCAGAAATACAAGGTTGGTCTATTTATTAAATTTGGGTAGTTATGACAGATGCCTGGGCATCCCTTTAAACAAAGGATGCTCCTTTTAAGAAAGGTCTCCTACTTAAACTACTTAAGGTAGTTTTTTTTTTCCTTTGTAAACACTTTTGTGGTCATTTTACCAATTTTTTCCCAAGGATAATGGTCTTTCTTGAAGTTATTTTTGCTCAATTCCCAGAGCATACTAACTGGGCAAGCAGGCAAGATCAGAGGGACAGCTGACTATTCTTTTACTATATGTTGCAACTTAATAAGCAAAGATAGTAGCATCTGTGTGTTTTTAATCAAATATTCTTAAATACAGTGTTTATCTCTGAATTTCTTGCTTCTCCCTCCCATGCCTCATTGTCCCTGATATGTCCTGCCTCAGCACCACTAGTTTTCCAGTCTTGTAATTTGCCTTTTCCACTCCTTCCCTCCCTGTTATCCGATCTGTTTTACATGTTTTCTAAAGCCTTCCAAAGGCCCTGCCCCAGCTCTAGTTATAGTCCAGTCCAGACCTTATTTGAACTTTATAAGCTGTACAATGTGACACAAATGTAAGTTCCCAATATTATGCCAAGGTTTCTGAAATGGACTCTGGCATGGCTTTTATTATTAACCAATCCTATTAGCATTCACAAACTCATAAGAATTTTTTTTCAGTGGAGGTGGATTTTATTTTGCTTGAACTGACAGATAAGAATTTTAAAAATAATCATTTATTGTACTTCTAATTGCTGAAGTATAAATGTTTGCTGTAGAGACTTTGGAAAATACAGAAAAGCATAAAGAAGAGTAGGGGTTATTTTTTTCTTTTATTTATATGTGCATACAACGTTTGGGTAATTTCTCCCCCTTTCCCCCCACCCCTCCCTTACCCCCCCACCCCCTCGCTACCAGACAGAAACTATTTTGCCCTTATCTCTAATTTTGTTGCAGAGAGACTATAAGCAATAATAGGAAGGACCAAGGGTTTTTGCTAGTTGAGATAAGGATAGCTATATAGGGAGATGACTTGCATTGCTTTCCTGTGCATGTGTGTTATCTTCTAAATTAATTCTTCTCAAACTAACCTTTTCTCTAGCTCCGGGTTCCCTGCTCCTATTGGCCTCTGTTGCTTTAAAGTATCTGCACTAGTTTCTCTGCGTTGAGGGCAACAAATGCTATTTAGTTTTTTGGGAGTCTTACCTATCCTCATACCTCCCAAGTGTGCTCTTGCTTTATCATATGATTGAAGTTCAATCCCCTTGTTGTGTTTGCCCTTGATCTAATGTCCGCATATGAGAGAGAACATACAACTTTTGGTATTTTGGGCCAGGATAACCTCACTCAGAATGATGTTCTCCAGTTCCATCCATTTACTTGTGAATGATAACATTTCATTCTTCTTCATGGCTGCATAAAATTCCATTGTGTATAGATACATTTTTTAAATCCATTCATCAGTAGTGGGGCATCTTGGCTGTTTCCATAACTTGGCTATTGTGAATAGTGCTGTAATAAACATGGGTGTGCAAGTGCCTCTGGAGTAACCTGTGTCACATTCTTTTGGGTATATCCCCAAGAGTGGTATTACTGGATCATATGGTAGATCTTTATTTAGATTTTTAAGAAGCCTCCAAATTTTTTTCCAGAGTGGTTGTACTAGTTTACTTTCCCACCAGCAGTGTAAGAAGGTTCCTTTTTCCCCACATCCTCACCAACACATGTTGTTAGTGGTGTTGCTAGTGATAGCTATTCTAACAGGGGTGAAGTGGAATCTTAGTGTGGTTTTAATTTGCATTTCCTTTGTTGCTCGAGATGGTGAGCATTTTTTCATGTGTTTTTTGGCCATTTGAATTTCTTCTTTTGAGAAAGTTCTGTTTACTTCACTTGCCCATTTCTTTATTGGTTCATTAATTTTGGGGGAATTTAGTTTTTTGAGTTCCCTATATATTCTGGTTATCAGTCCCTTGTCTGATGTGTAGCTGGCAAATATTTTCTCCCACTCTGTGGGTGGTCTCTTCAGTTTAGAGACCATTTCTTTTTTTGAGCAGAAGCTTTTTAGTTTTATGAAGTCCCATTTATCTATTCTATCTCTTAGTTGCTGAGCTGCTGGAGTTCCATTGAGAAAGTCTTTGCCTATAGTAGGGGTTATTTTTAACCTCTTAATTTGGATTAACAATTTTGGTGTGCTTTCACCCATTTTCTCTTCCATGTGTATAATCTTTTATGAAACTATAAAACAAATGTTTTCACTAGATATGTGCCTCTTTGTAGCTTTTTAAATTTGATCTACCAAAAACATATTATGGCAATAAACATTTTTCTATGTCATTTTAATCACTTTATGGAATTCCATTATACTCTATCATTCATCTTACCATTGCCTACTATTAAGATTTTGGTTGTTCCCAGTTTCTTCCTCTTAGAAATGCTGCTAGATCTGACTATTTACTTACGATAATTTTTTAGAAGTTAAATACTTAGTCAATGATGTCAATGATTGTGCTTTTTTTTTTTTTTTTTTTGTGGTTCTGGAATTTGAACTAAGGTCCTACACCTTGGGCCACTCCACCAGCTCTTTTTTTAATTATCTTTTTGTGCAGGTGTGCTCATTTTTAAGACCTTTAATATATACTGCTAAACTGGACTCCAGAAAGGATATAAGAATTTATACTTAGACTGAAATTATATGAGTGTCCATCTGTGCCACTCATTCACTTTTGGCTTAGCATATCGTTTGTTTCAATTCTTGCCACTTTGATAGGAAAACAAAGGTAGTGGGCCTGACCATGTTTTCCTTTGGATAGGTCATTTTCCTGTGATCCTGGTTAAAATCCCTGTTCCATGTGATCTTGGACAAGTCACTTAACTTTTCAGTATTTCTGACTCTTTACTTGTAAAACAGGGATAACGACAGTTTATTGCTATACATAAATGTGTATTATACATGTTCATTATAAGAAACACATAACTTAATAAACATAAAGCTCTAAACAGTACCTGGAATATAGGAAGCTCTAAAGAGAGGTAGCTATTATCGTTACTATTTATTTTTTGTCAATCCTTGCTAATCTAACAAATGGAAACTGATAGATACCTATTTTAATTTACACCTCCTCGGTTACCCGTGTGGACTACGTGTCTCTGTGTTTATACTGGCCATATGTACTCCTGTCAAGACTTCTTTCAAAGCACTGTGACAAACAGGCTCTCACTCGATCCTCCTAACGAACTCGTGAATTAGGAAGGTGGCAATCACCAATCCTCACTTTTCTAATTAAGAACCTGAGACTCAGAATTCCAATGCTGAGCAATCCCAATCCCAGGATTCAGATCTCAACTCTTCAAAGCCTAGCAGTTGTCCCAGAAAATACGCTTGTTGAAAAGCTTTTGTTAGTCGTAAAACCTCCCTTGCCCCCGCCCCACCCCATAGGCTCCGCCCCCAAGGGGCCCCGCCCACACGCGCGGTCTGCGCACGCGCAGAAGCTCCTGCGCGCGGGGGTGGGCGGGGGCCTCCAGCCGCGGCCCCGCCTCCCCCGGCGCGGCCCGCCCAGTCCGAGGGCGGTGGGCCTGGCGCTCCGGGTCCCACGAAGGGGAAGGCGAGGGTGTCCCTCGTGAGGGGCCTGGTCTACCACGCGGCGGAGGCCCGAAGTTCAAGGCCAGGTAGGGAAGGGCGCCCACTCCCGAGCCGCCATCTTGCGGCGGGGAAGGCGGGCGCCGTAGCGGACCGGGACCGGGGCGGGGTCGGGGGGCGGGCCGGGGCGGGGTGCGCACCCGGCTGGCGGGTCCCGGAGCGCCACGGCGGGGAGTCTTCCGTGCGGGCTGTGGGCCGTAGCGGGCGGACCCACCATGCTGGAAAGCCCTAGTCCCAAGACTGGGTGCAGACCTGCTGCCCCGGTGCTGGACTTGAACTTGGCCTCAGACTGTGCTCTTGGCTTCAGGGTCCTAACCGCTTTCTCGGGCCTTCCCATCTGATGCACACGGGGCAGCACTTGGAAGGAGGCCAGGGAAGTGACTATTATCCCATTTAACATACTGAAAACTAAGACTCAGAGTGGGGGAGGAGACTTGCCTAGGGACGCTAGCGAGGTGTTGGCAGTGGGACTCACGTCTTACTCCTGTCACCAGGGAACTCTGCTTCACCTGTCAAAGGAAGGGGCTGAGCTAAGGCATTAGTTAGGAGAGCGACAGCAGTTCTTTATAAAGATCCTTTGTAAAGATCTGCCTCTCTCTGAATCCATCCGAGAAGTATTTCAGAAGCCAAGCTATGGATCCACCTGCACGTAAAGAAAAATCCAAAGTGAAAGAACCCGTCAGCAGAGTGGAGAAGGCTAAGCAGAAATCCGCCCAGCAGGAACTGAAGCAAAGACAAAGAGCAGAGGTGAGAGTAACGAGGGGGTTCTGTATTCCTGGGGACTGCTGGAGAAGGTGCTGGAATTGAGGGAAAGTAGAAAGGAACCCTGGGCAAGACAGGGGTTCTTCAGGTTTAGAGATCATAGAGGTCTAGAATGATGACAGGGCAGCTCAGAGTCACAGAGTCACGTGCCAAGTTAGTCAGAATCCCAACCAGTACCAGGTTTCTAGATGATTCCTGGCACAGTGCTTTTGTGATACAGAAGACCTGAAGGAAGGAAGAAAGAACTAGAAGCCACGTGTAAGGGGAGGGGTCAGAATAAGAAAGAGAACACCAGTGTCCCACCGTCCAGCACATATGTGCAGGATTTGGTGCAGAAAGTACTTTCTGATAACTAGGAAAAGGCCCAGGCTTTAAAGCCCACCAATGTGTTGCTTTGTTCTCCCAACACTTACAACCAAGGTAAGAATAAAAAGCTTTAAACTGTTTATGGTGCTAATGTTGAACCACATCCAGACATGCATATTTTATTCTAATATTTAATATCAGAAAAAACTTGCTGGTCTTTTTTCCCCTCTTTGTTTCAGTTGTTTTTGAGAAATTCAAAGTACAGAAAAATTAGACTATTACAACAAACACCTGGTACTCAGCTCCCCAGATTGGTTTTGGTTAGTATTTTGTCATATTTTCTTGGAGTTAAAATAAGATAAATAAAAATCACATATAAATTTGAAGTCCCCTTTGTCTGTTTCTTGTCTTGCACCCTTTTTACCTTTCCTGTGGGCAAACACTATTATTTGCATTCTAATATATTAATAGATATCCTTGAATGGTGTACAATATTCTTTTGCGTTTTAAATTTTTATACTAATAAAATTCCATACACTTTTGGTTTTTGTTTGCATTACTTTTTAGAGCTAGTCATGTCAGCACATGATTCTAGTTTTTTCTTACCACTCTTCACGGTAGTCTATTTTATGAAACCACCTTATTTAGAATATTACCTGTTTCTCCAGTGATGGACATTTTAATTATTCATAGTCATTTTGCTTTTTCAAACATGGCTTTAGGGAAAAACTTTTAGGTAGTTCCTTGGGCTCCTGTGCTAGAATTTTGGTAGGGTATTTTATATGACTAGAAGAATTACCAGGTACTGTTCCAGTTTTACCAGACATTGCCAAATTGCTTTCAAAAGGATTCTACAGTCTTGCTGTCCTACTAGCAGTATAAGAGATTTTTATTCCTCCTTTTTAGTCTAACACTCAATATTGTCAAACTTGTAATTTTGTTTATCAGATCCCTTTGTTAAACAAATACTGAGTTGCTGTTCTGTGTTAGGCAAGGTTCTAGGAATTGGAGACACATGACTGGACAAGGCAGGGAAGAGTCCTTGCCTTCATGGAGCTTGCTTTCCTGTAAACATAAATAAGCTTAGTAGCTTGTGCATAAACTAAAATCTCCCTTTGCGTTAAGGCAGACTATCTGAAAGCTGGGCTCCTAGCTTTTAACAAGTGGTTCTGACCTTTCCTTTACCTGAATCAGGCCCCCAGATGACTTTATTGCTTTGTACTCTGGTGAACAGTTCAAGGGGTACAGTAATTAGCCTCCCTATAAAACTGTCTTCCGTGCATACTGTAAAGGTAGAGGTTGAAGACATTGTTCATAACCTTAGTGTTTGACACTCTTCTTGTGAGGTTTCACAGGTTAAAATTATTTGCCTCACTTCAACTCCTGGTTCTTCTCATGTGACCTTGGACAAGATACTTCTGTGAACCTTGGTTCCTTGGTGCCTCCTTGTTAAAATGATGACGACAGTATCTACCTCACATGACTGTTACAAGGAATAGAAATAGTTTATGTAAACTGGACATAGTGGTGCATGCTTGTGACTTCAGCTGCTCGTGAGACAGAGGTAGGAGGATCATGAGTTTGAGGCCAGCCAAGGCAAAGGTAGTGGTGAGACAAAATACAAACAAAAAGGCTGGGAGTGTGGTTCAAGTGGTAGAGCATTTGTGTAACAAGCACGAGAATTCAATCCCTGGTTCCACAGAAATTAAGTAAATAAATAAATGTAAAGCACTTGGCGCAGTGCTTGGCACAGAGGAGACATTCATTATCCAGCAGCAACTGTGATCAATGGCTGTGTGCTCCGTGCATTTGGCTTGCTCTGCTCACGTGCCTGACTGTGTTCATGTTCACAGCTGAGAGGTGATGCTGGGCTTGCACTCTGGCGGTAACCAGATTTCTTAACCATGTGCCAGCCCAAACCAAGCCTGCACACACACATGTGAACACATGTAACACCAAACCAAGACAGGTATTATTGTTTTTCCCATTTTACTCTTTGCATGTCCTTTCGGGGATAAAGTAAGGGTATAGAAAATCCATGAGGTAGGAGGTATTATCCTCGCTTTAAAATAAAATCCAGCCATTAGTGAAGGGCAGGCCTGTTAGGTCTTCTGCTCTTTTGCTTTACCCTACAGCTGCCTTGCTATTTTCTTTATCTATGGCCTGGAATGTAATCTCCTATGGTAGGAATGTGACAAGACCCCTTGGCAGGGAGGAAGAGACACAGTCACAGCAAGTGACCCTTCTTGACCAAAAGTCTTTCCTTCCTTGGCTTGGACGCCCTTGTCCATTTTGAGTCTCTCCCTGCTTATTTTCCCCTTTCTCCTACCATCTTTCCTCCTAGGTCAGGAGGTCTCCAAGATGTAATTTAATACCCCTTTCATGCTCATTAGTTATTATGTGAATGAAGCAGAAGTTTTTAAAAGTGTATATATTTAAGCTAGAAGTGGCTCAAGTGGGAGAGTGCCTGTCTAGCAGGCTTGAAGCCCTGAGTTCAATTCCCAGTACTGTCAAAAAAATATGTACATTATAAAGTATGTGGTTCAAGGCCAACCTGAGCAAAAAGTTACCCAGATTCCATCTTAGCAAACAAGCTGGGTGTGGTGGCTCACATTTATAATCCCAGCTATGTGGGAGGCATAGGTAGGAGGCTTATGGTCCAAGACCGACCCTAGGCAAAAAAAAAAAAAAACAACAAAAAGCCATGAGACGCTATCTGAAAAACAACTTAAGCAGAAAAGGGTTGGGGGTGGTGGCTGCCTAAGGAAGCAGATGGCTCTAAGTTCAAACCCCACAACCACAAAAAAAAAGGAGGAAGAGTAGAATAAAAGAGCTTTGTATCTACTACCCCACTTAAGAAATACAGCATGAAGCTAGCAAAGTGGAGTATATAGAGTGGAGGTTGGGGCCTTAAATGCTGTGCCAAGGAATCTGGCCCTTATCTGTAGACTCTGGAAAGCCAACAGAGATAAGTGCAGGAGCGCAACCTGACTCAGTATCAGTGTTTGGGGAAGATAACTGGAGGCCGCTTTGTGAGTGTGGTGGGGCAGGTTATCAGCTTCTTAGAGGCATTTGTTACAATAGCCCGGGGAGGAGGCCGTGGGACTCTGGTCCAGGGCAGGCCATGGTAGTGGGAAGAAAACCACTAGACACATTCCATGATGAAAGGTGACTAACCTATTCAGTAAAGAACATAAATCAGTCATGAAACTTCACCGTTTGTAGAAGAAATAAAGGGGTGTGTGTGTGTGTGTTATAACTTGACCTCTTGCTTTCTTCTACTCCCAGCCTCCACTCCTTATACTCTGCGTTACCATACCTGATGCTTCCAGAAGTGACCCTATATACCTTTCCATATTTGTTTATACATAATATTGTTGGGGGGAGGAGGTGGCCCAAACAATGTATACACATGTGAGTAAATGTAAAAACAATAAAAGGATGAATAAAAAAATAGTTTACCCACAATATTGCCCCCCCTCACCTTTCAAGTCCCTTCCCTATTCAAACCCTACCATCCCTAAAGACTAAGCCACCTGCCCTCCTGCTTCTTTCTTCATTCCCCAGATGGAATTAATATCTGCAGTCCTGGTCCCAAACCCTTTCCCCGCATACCATGACCTGCCAGTTCCGGTGTTTTCGGATGACTTGGCCTTGTGTGAAGCCCGCTGAGCAGCTGCTTCCATTGCTAACATGTCTGTTTCTTGTTTCAGATCTATGCTCTCAACAGAGTCATGACAGAGCTGGAACAGCAGCAGTTTGATGAGTTCTGTAAACAGATGCAGCCTCCTGGGGAGTGAGCCAGTCCTGTGTTCTCTGATGGGACCCTGGAGCCTTTGTTGTGAGCTTGCACCCAGTGTGGAGCTGAGATGGCCTGTCTGGAGCCTTACAGAACTAAACGTGTGGATAGCTGAACTTATTTCCTATATGTAACTTTTACTTCACTGCTTCTTCCACTCTGAATTGGCCACATATTTGCTGAAGAGACATGTTGTCTTCTAAGATAATAGATTCTTTTTAAAAAAAAAAAAGAAAAAACTTTTTCTATTGTTTGAGGGGAAAAAAAAAATCAGTGTTTCTTGGGAAACTGTGTATCTTCTCCCAAAATACAAATAAAATGTTTATGAAATGTTCATTTGCTCACACTTTAGGGTGGGAAGGCCTAGCCATAGAAAGTGGAGTAAAAAACGTATTTGGTAAGAAAGGTTGGGTGAGCAGCAGGCACCCTCCCTCCTTTAGGTGTTGGGTAAAGAGGGAAAAAGGACCAGGACCATTTCAGAGTTCATTCCTCACAGCCTATGCTGTGCAGACCCTGTTGTCATAAGCTTTCAGTCACAGGTACAAGCATGAGACTCTACTCCAGATTGAGCCATACAAGTGGCTCCAACAGGGTTGGAGTCTGTAAGCTAGCATTCCCCTCATCTGTGACTAATGAGCACCAGCAGCAGCCTTGCTCAAGCAGGATAGGGCAGTGCAAGCACCTGTATTTCATTTGGGGGCCCCTTGATTAGACCTAGAGATGGGTTTGTGATGGGAGTATTCAGTCTGGTACCTCAGAAACCAGATATTCCCGTTCCAACTGCCATTTTTAGGGAAGAAAGTATACACTTGTCTCTGCCTCAGACATTTGTTTTAGGAATGGAGTTCATACCAACATGTTAGCAGCAGAATTATTTTCACACTGAGCAAAAGTAGAGATTGTTCATTCAGGATATTTTATTTGGGAGGGGGGATGGATTTCAGAGGAAAGATCACTCAGGACAAAAGACCCAAACACTCACCCATCTCACTCCAAACTGGAGATGCCTGCTGGGAACATCTCAAGCTATCTGCCTCTTCTGTCTCCCAGCTGCCTCTGAAGTCACTGGGAATACTGCTCCCACTGCTGTGTCTTATTTTAGGAGTAAACTGGGACATTAATGGAATGTTGGAAACTTGCTACCACTGTGAAGATGTGTTTTTATGAGCCTGAAGTACAATTAAGGAGAATCTCTAGATAGATTATCCCATAAATAGTAATTAGGTTCTGTAGTGTCCTGCTAAATTTGGGATTGTTTTGGTTGGTTTTTTGGAGGATTGGGGATTGGAAGGAGCTATCCCTATAAACATAAGGAAATGCTGTTAATGTACCAGAAAGAGCACAGTTTGGGTGCGTTCCATATGTAATGAATGGCGACCTGGGCTAAGTAAAGCTGGACATATAGCTCAGTAGCAGAGCATGTGCTTAGCATTTGAAGTAACCTGGTAATCTCTGTGAGCCTCACTGTTCCATCTACATAATGAAATAGTTTTCTTCCTCTCAGAACCATCATTCAGAAATAAAATTTGTGATAGTGTCATGTTCCTTCCCAACCACCTTTCAGATCATGTCATGGGAAATGCTTCAATTTTCAAATAACCAAGTATTGCAAGAACACTGTTAGGAAAGATTCTGACCCTTTGTTGGGAACTGCTTTATTAACATGTCTCCTTCTTGGGTCTAGTCTTGTCCTGTTGAAGCACTCTAGTTAGGACAGTTTTTCAAAGTGCATGTGGTTTTAGTGAGACTGTTTTTTCCCTTCCCTTCCCTTCCTTTCCTTTCCTTCTCTCTCTCTCTTTCTCTCTTCTCCTCCGCCTCCTCCCCCTCCCCTTCCTCCCCCTCCTCCTCCTCCTCCTCCTCCTCCTCCTTCTTCTTCTTCTTCTTTCTCTTCTCTCTCTCTCTCTCTCTCTCTCTCTCTCTCTCTCTTTTTCAAGATGGGATCTTACGAACTATTTGCCCAACTTTTCTTAATGAAATAATAGATTTGGAAGTGCCACGTAGGAGCTGGAGACGTAGCTCAGTAGCAGAGTGTGTGCTTAGCATTTGAAGTTTATATACACATCATTGTGTATACTGCATTTGATATAAAAGTTATTTCTTACTGTGGATATGTTTTTTTTTAATTGACATACAAGAAGATGCCTGAACCAAGACAGGAACAGGGTTGTCCTTTTATTCACATTTTAAAGAAAGATTCATCTTCTACATCTGAGAAACACCAGGGTAAGGGCTCCAGCAGCCTTTGTATCCAAAACTGGAATAGCATTGAATGCCAAGGCTCTTGTGGGCATAATCAGTTAAAACTAGGAGCACACTTCTCCTCAGCTGCCTGGAATTCCCTAATCCCAACATGTTCCATTCCCAGTTTCTCAAAGGTAAAAGATATTTTTGGAACCTTATGTTAAAAAAAAATCAACACTGGTGTAGTGACTCAAGTGACAGAGCACCTGCCTAGCAAGCATGAGGTCCTGAGTTCAAACTCCAGTATCACACACACACACACACACACAGACCACATTAAAAAAAAATCAACCATGAGATACTGACTTTGGAAGTCAAGCTGCCCAGGTTTGACTTTTAGGTCCACCACTGGCTAATTGTATGGTAACTTCTAGTCTTACTAAGTAATTTTCAAACTTTTTGCTCTCTGGACTGTTTCACACTCCAAAAATTGAGGGCCCTAGAGAGCTTTTTGTGTGTCTGTGTGTGTGTGTGTGTGTGGTACTGAGGTTTGAACTCAGGGCTTACATCTTGAGCCACTCCACTAGCCCTTATTTTTTAATGGGTCTTTTCGAGATAGGGTCTCTCAAACTATTTGCCCAGGCTGGCTTTGAACCTCGATCCTCCTGATCTCTGCTTTCTGAGCAGCTAGGATTACAGGCGTGAGCCACTGGGGCCCGGCCCTGGAGAGCTTTTGTTTATCTGGGTTATATGTATCATATTGCAATATTAGAAATTGAAAGTTTAAAATTATTAATTCATTTGAAAACAATACAAATCTATTATAGGTTAAAATAACATTTTTGTAGGAAATTTTTCAAAACAGAGTGGCATTTCACATTTTTTTCAAATCTCTTGAATATTCAGCTAATAATATTAAAAAAATATCTGCTTCTATATTCTATATTCTCATATTATTTTAATTGAAATATGTGAAGAAAACCTGTCTCAAGTTGTTATGTAGTTAGAAAAGAGAGGTATTCTAATAGCTCATTTGGATCATCGCAGTATTCTTTGATACAACACCCAGCTTCAGCAAGGGTTAGTTTCTTAAAGGTTACTTGCAACATGGAATCTGATACCATATCAATGAACTTGTTGTACTTTGATACATTAAAATTCTTTGGTCTTTGAATTTTGCCCTCCCAATGGACATTTCACTCATGCATGATATTGTAACATCAAGCGTTGGTTGTTTAGAAAATATTGGATCACTGAGTTATGCAGATCTCCCAAATATTGACACATTGCATTATACATCAAAAATACATATTTAAGATGAGTGTGGTGGAGCATACCTATAATCCCAACACTTGGGAAGCTGAGGCAAGAAGGTTGTGAGTTTGAGGCCAGCCTGGGCTACATAGCAGCAAGACAAAAAACAAAAAAGGAAGAAAAAAGAAAAAGAAAAATACATATTCATTAATATCCCACTGATATCAGAAAATCCTTGAGGAGTATTAGAAGGGAGTCAAACTCCCAGTGGTAGAGTTTTCAATTTTTCAATTTTTACATGGAAGCTCAAATGTTATCTCGGGCATCAAAAACTTTTTTCTTTTGTTGTGCGGCACTGGGGCTCATGCTTGCTAGACAGGAACTCTTAGGACTCAAGCCACTCTGCCAGACCTGTTTTGTGATTTTTTTTTTTTTTCAAAAGGGTCTTTAGAACCATTTGCCTGGGGCTGGCTTCGAGCTGTGATTCTCCTGATCTCTGCCTCCTGAATAGCTAAGATTACAGGCATGAGCCACCAGCACCTGGCTCAAAACTTCTTTTTTGAGGCACCTGGCTCAGAACTTCTTTCTTAATGCAATAGTCTCACTCAGTTCCTCCTTCGAGAAAACCCAGTCTGAGCAACCCTAGTTTATCTGCTAATCATCCTGCAGTGTTTCATGGGAAAACAAGGCAGCTCTGCTCAAACTCAAACCTGGACTCGTCCTGAAGACACTATGGTAACTTCAGTGTGCAGCACAAGAACGTCCATCAGGTACACTTTCCATATCCTTCCACAGAAATTATTAAGAAGATGCATATTCAAGCATCAAGACTTAATAAAATTAATCATTTTTACTGTTTACCAAGGACATTCTTTTTCTTTTCTTTTTTTTACCGAGGACATTCTTAAGTGAAGCTGTTTTGGTTTGTTTTGTTTTACTGGAAACATGAGGTGATAAAAATGTACCCTGACTACCAGGACCATCCAGCACCACAGCAAGGTGACAGCAACTTCACCCACTAGGGCTTTGCTTCATTAGTGAAAATGTCAACACAGTGCCATTTTAGTCCCTCTTAAGGATTATTGAGAAAATAGTTTTGATTCTGAAAGGTCTCAGGAACCCCAGGGGTCAGAAGAAACACAGAACTTCTGGCCTTCAGCCTGGGTCCTTGTTGGATTATTCAGGGAATTAAGTGACGAGAAAAAGACAAGGAACAGTTCCTGTCAAGTAGCAAGTTACACAGTACAACACAGTACATTTTAGTACAGCTTCACTCTGCGTAGAAACTATGAGCCTTTAGTTTAAATTGGAAGGTGTATATGGGAAGAGAAGGTAGAGGGGAGAAAAAGAGCAATCTACCATTTATTTAATACCTTTTACCATGCTAGGTATTTTCTGTGTCATTGTATTTAGTCCATGAAACAACCCGGAGAAGAAGCAAACCTTCCATTTTACAGATAAGGAAATGGGTTTAGAGAGATTAAACAGTTCACTCAGATCCCAAAGCTAAAATAAAAGAAGCCCCATTCTCAGCCACTGGATTCTGCTCACCAGACAGTAGCACTTGAGGTTGAGAAGAGAGGACCAGGAAGGAAAACTCTCTAGCTGAGTTAAGACTAGCAGAACTGCCCAGCATCCTCTAACTTCATTTATTCATCTGAGAAGTGCATTCTTTCTGAGGTTTGAACCCAGGGCCTCATGCTTGCTAAAGCAGGTACCCTACCACTTGAGTCACTCCACCAATCCTGAGAAGTGCAATGTTAAAGTCCTGTCATCCATGCTTGTTCCTAAGTGGAGGCCCAAGAACTGTTCTATCCTAGAAAATCAATGTCCTGGAATAAAGTCACAGAACAAGGAGCTGCCATCTGAGCCTTCAGCCAGCTGAAAAGTGCAGCCAGACTCCACAGAAGTGCAAGGAAGTGGCTCTCAGGTGACCTCTAACTAATCTAGTGTCACCAACACATGAAAATTCCAATCGAAGTAATGAAGCAAGATCATTCCTGTTACAGAGGATCCATGATTTACAGAGCCAAAGAAATATATTACTTTTGAAAGCAGTCCTCTGGGGGGCCTATATATTGATTTTTAACTCTGCTGCTGCTAACATGGACATGGAAATTCTCTTCCAGAATCACATCTTTTTCCCTTGAAAATAGAAACAGCCAGAAGTCAAATAGTGAGATTCAAGACTAGGACATCAGTGAGCTATGCTCCGTGCACACACAGCCACCCGCCATTCTATCCCCTTTTGATGGTGTCCTAATAAATCTGCCTTCTCCTAAAAAAAATAAAATAATAGGATATCATTGGCTCATCCCAAATGTTAGGGTTCTTAGGGCTGGGGACATGACTCATGTGGTAGAGCGCCTGCCTAACAAGTATGAGGCCCTGAGTTCAAACCTCAGTACCACTAAAACCAAACAAATAAAAAATACAAACCAAATATTAGGTTTTTGAACTAAATTTAATTGGATAAGCATACCACGCTTATCCCCCTATCCAGTACTGTGCTTTAGCTGCAGGCCCAGAAAGTTTAAATTCTAAATTGGACTTCCTACTGGGTTGGTACTAGTGGGAAGGAGGAGGATATAAGGAAAGGGTGTAGGAGGGTGAATATTGTGGAAATGTTATGTACTTGTGTATGAAAATGGAAAAAATAAGGCTTGTTGAAACTATTCCAGGGATGGGAGGAAAAGGGATAAAGGAGAATGATGGAGGGCGTAAATTCAACTATGATATATCGTGAACTTCTGTAAATGTTACAGTGCACCCCGAGTAAAACAATAAAAAAGAAATTACATAAAAAAATAAATAAAATAAAATTGGAGTTCCTAAAACATTTCAATTAAGCGTAGCATCACACTGACATGAACATACAGCACTGAGGAACATCACGTGGACGTGTCTGAGCCCACCTGTATGTGAAAAGCAACCTTGAATATAATTTGCTAGAACCCATAACTCATCTCCTAAGTAAACATTATGTGTGCCCGGCACTGTGGCAGGTACAGAAATTCATAAATGTAAACTGGATCATGGCACATTCAGCTAATAGTGATCCCATAAAGGATGTAATAGAGACATGGGCAGAGAGCAACAGAGAAGAGGATGCTATCTGCTCCTCCCAGCCAAATGATAGTGATGTGAGCCTCTCTGGATTTTAAAACCGAAATTTAAATTTGATACAGAGTTACTACATCCATTGCTGGGAAAACCTCAGGCAGTCTGACTTGCGGAAGGACGTGCTCTGGCGCCACCCCATCTGGAGGCCATGCTGGGGCTCATTGTTTTCAGTGGACCTAAGGGCTCTGCGAGGTACAATTTTAGCAGGCAGTACTGTTTATTTCTGTCTGATTTGAATTTTAGGAGAGAAGTTTAGTATTCAAGCTCTCAGGAAAGAAACACACACAGAGGTCCCCAAGGCAGATGATGCCTTCGTGATGCTAGAGATCAAATCTCTAAACAAAGCAAAAGCAGATGCTTTGCACTGCTAAAATATAGAATTTTGGGGTTTTTGGGTTTTTTTTTTGGTGGCACTGGGGTTTGAACTCAGGACCTCACCCTTGCTAGGCAGGTGCTCTACCACTTGAGCCATGACCCCCAACCCCAAAATACAGAGTTTTTAAGTTACAATGCTCTACAGACATTCCAAGTGGTCAATGTGATTGATCTGTGGTAAGCACCGCTCTCAGAGCCAGAGTCTGCCCGTGTAAGGAATGTGTTAGTGAGGGCTGGGCATGGTGGCCCCCACTGTAATCCCAGCTACTGGGGGTTAGAGATAGGAGGAACACAGTTTGAGGCTAGTCCGGGCAAAAAGTTAGTGAGACCTCATCTCAACAAATAAGCCAGACATGGTGGTTACTTCTGTAATCTCAATCAGAGGTAGAGTTAGGAGGATCTCTGTGTGAGGATGGACCCAGACATAAAAAAAAAAAAAAAAACCACAAGAGTATCTGAAAAATAACTAAAGCAAAAAGGAATGGGGGCATGACTTCCGTGGTAGAGCACTTTCTTAACAGGCTCAAGGCCTTGAGTTAAAAACCCATTATTGGAAAAAAAACAAAAGAAAGAAATGTGTTCGTGAGCTCCCCTACCACCATCACTAGGGTAATATTATAATTACGCAGCAGGACTGAGGCAGAAACTCCCTTTCCAAGGGAGGAACCTTAGTGTATAGAGTCCAGCTAGTGACAAAGCTGGAACTCAAACCTAGCCCAAACTTAGCTTGAAAAAAAAAAAAAAACCTGTTCTATATAACATATACAAATATTGCCTGAAAGGGAGTCAGAACCCTGAATAAAGATAACGAAGCAAAGGCCACTCTGTCTACAACAGAGACAGAACATATCTAGCATAGACAACACAGGCAAAGGGAAAGCTTTAGTGAGATAAGACAAGGTCCAGCCCAGTGTGCTGGCATAGACCCGGTGGAGGTCAGAGGTAGTTGGAGCTGTGGTTTCCACGCTGCTAGAGCCTATGACAGGCCACTTTGCCCCACAGGGTATCCGGGAAGAAGATGTAGGAGAGCGACCACATCAGGCAATAAAAAGCAGTGACAGAGAATGGAAAGAAAAACAGCATGATGACACCTGGAAGAAGCAGAGACACATACTCAGTTTCCATGAAGCTGCCTCACACAGCTCCCACCCCGCCCTCTCACCTTCACATATCACTCTAGTGCCCACGAAACAGCACCAGAAGAGAGGGGGGTCCTGTTTCTAAGTTCAGTACCTTGCGTAGAAAAATGTAAAGAACTACACCAATAAATCCTAATGCAACCTCAGCTTCCATTCTGTCAACTTCAGATCAGAAGCCAGTCCTGGACGAGAATAAATTTGAGAACTACATCTTCAGCCACTCTGCCAGCCCTCCCCCCTTTTTCTGTGATGAGTTTTTTTGAAATGGGGTCTCATGGACTATTTGTCCGGGCTGGCTTTGAACTGTGATCCTCCTGATCTCTGCCTCCTGAGTCCCTAGGATTACAGGAGTGAGCCACTGGTGCCTGGTTGTCCAGATCGTTTGTTAGGGGAAAAGAAAAAAAAGAAATTTTCTAATTGTTTGGAGTTTAACATGGAATAATGGCTAATACAACCCTGTATGCATGCAGAAAGGAGCCTGACACTGCAATCCTTAGAAAGATGGTCACAGGTTGGCGGTTCCCACACCAATAGAAGACCTCCCCTAAGTGATCAGAGTAGTTCGTGGTGCCCAGACTGTACAAGCCTGTGGCTTATGCTGAACACCTGCTTTGTTTCTGAGGGTCTGACATTTGGACATATGTCATGCAGAGGATACCCACGTGACTGGCCACCAATAAAAACCTTGGGCACCGGGTATCTGGTGAGCTTCCCTGGCAGGTAACACTTCTAGGAGTTCTCACAATTCAGTGCTAGAAGACAGTGTACAGCTGCTGACTCCACTGGGAGAATGGAAGCTGGCACCTGCCTTCCTCTGACCTTCACCCCATGTGCCTTTTTTCCTTGCTTGATTTTGCTTTGTGTCCTTTGGCTCTCATCGTGTCCTTTGGCCATGAGTAGGGAAATGTGCTGAGTTCTATGAGTCCTCCTAGCAAAGCACAGGCCATGGAGTCTTGGGGGCTCCCAACACAATGAGTCTCAGATTCAGCAGTAAAAGCCTCCCCCGTTAGTGGCAATATCTATTGTGCGCTAGACATTCTGCTAGATAGTGGTGGTACATTATTTCATTTACACGTTATAATAATCCTGTCAAGAACTGAGTTTCTCAAATGAAGAAACAGGGGAAGTCACTTGCACAAGCTCCTGATTCAAACCCATGTCTGCCTGACTCTGAAAAACTATACATTTCCACTGCCTCAGAGAGTTCAGAAAAGGTAGGAGAATGTAAGCGTAGCATGTCCATGGGGACAGCTAGCATGTGTTCTATAAGAAAAGTCAGGACACATGACCTGACAGAGACCACTTCTAGGGGCAAGAAGCAGTGAAGGAGGTACAGTGGAATTTGGGATAGGGCATTTGGAGAAGAGTCACTGATCTGTTGCGGCAAGGAGACGATATGTAAAACCAGAGCTGTCCTGGAAAATATGTGACATAAAAAGCTGGGTGTAGCCAGGCACCAGTAACTCACACCTGTAATCTTAGCTACTTGGGAGGTTGAGATCAGAAGGATCACAGTTGGAGGCCAGACCAAGCAAAGAGTTTGCAAGATTCCCATCTCGACTAATAGGTGGACACAGTGGTGCGTGCCTGTCAAGCTATGCAGGAGGCTGAGATAAGAAGGAACACAGTTCCAGGCCAGCTTGAGAAGAAGTTTGTGAGACTCCATCTCAATAGGAAGAAAGCAGGGCATGGTGGTATGTGCCTGTCATCCCAGCTACACGAGGCTCAGAAGAAGAATTGCAGTCCAGGCTGCACCAGGCAAAAACTAAAGGCCCTACCTGAAAAATAACCAAAGCAAAAAGACCTGGGGTGTGGCTCAAGTGGTGGAGTGCCTGCCCAGCAGGTACAAAACCCTGAGTTCAAAGCCCAGTACCACAAAAAAGGAAGGAAGGAAGGAAGGAAGGAAAGAAAGAAAAGAAAAGAAAGACATAAGCATAAGGTGTCCAAAGCTGGCATAGCCAGTTTTTCAGAAGCTCTTTATGGGAGGCGGGACCTCAGTCTAAAAAGGTGACTGGCTGCTCACCAGGCAGGAGGAATATAACTGCAGCCACATTGAAATCTACCCAAGTAGAGCTCTCATACTAACTGTGTCAAAATCTGTAAGGTGCAGTTTCCTCCTTTCCTCACACAGCGAAGGCAATCCTAAAGGTTAAGGCCAACTGTATGGTTGAGAACCGGGATCAGTAGTAGCTATAGGAGCAAAGAACACTGGGAAATACTATTGCTATGGACCAGAAGAAGGAGAGGGAGAAGAGAAAATGGGGGCTAGGAATTCATTACCTCATTTAATTTCAATAACCCTACAAAAAATGTAGGGATTTGTGGCTTCATTTTATGACTGAAGAAAATTGAGCTCAAAATGGTGAGGTGTGAGCTCAAGTTTATACAAAACTACTATACGCTAAAGTCAGATCTGTGTTCTTACCACCATTCTGCCTCTGCATCTAGGTAGGAAAGTGACACCTAGAAGCCAGCTAGGGTTGTTGGTGCTGATGACATGAAAGGTATGAACTGAAGGGACCCTACAAGGTATAAACTGTGGACTCTACAAACTAGAGTGGCTGACAACAAGGAAATAATGGAAGAAATGTAATCTCCTCATAGCGCTTGTCTTGTTGATATGAGAAGAAAAGTTAATGTTCCCTCAAGGAAGCCCTAGGTCTGGGAAGACTCTAGGGAGACATCTGCCAGGACTCCAGCATGACTGAAATCTCAGAGCCTGGAACCAAGCACTCAGGTGCTTGAACTTGAACTTCCCTTCCACAATATCAGTTCCAATCACTTCATCCCCACCATACTGCCACTCCTCCTCTGAACTTGCAGTCTCAGTGTGACTGCCTCTTCTCTACCTTACAGAGAGTGATCTTGGCAAGTGCCGATCTGATTAGATTTCCTGCCCACATCCAGCCACAGGCTTCCCATGTGCCTCTAGGATCAACTCTCAAATCCTGTCCAGTCTGCCTACTTCACTAGCCTCAATTTGTGTCACTGGCTCTCTCAGCAAGTTCCAACCACACTGACCCACTCACTAATGCTTCCCACACCTTCTTGCCTTCCTGCCATCACAAAATACTGTTTTCTCTGCCTGAGCCACCCCCCTCCTACTCACCCAACTACTTATCTTGCAGGTCTCACTTAAAATGTCACCTCATAAAGGACCCTTTCCCTCCCTTCAGGCCATCCCAATCTAAATGAGGTCACCCTCTGACACCCTCTCAATGCACCCTGCACTTTCCCAGTACCTCAAAACTATAGGTTTCCAGTTATTTCTGACTTTCTCCCTATCTGACTGCAAATTTGGAGGCAGGGACTATGTCTAGCTTACCAATTTGCTTCCCAGTACCTTGCATATGGTAGGTGCTCCCTAAATCTCTGTTGAACTTGTTAACATTCAACACATTTTTTTAAGTATCTACTATGCGATTGGCACAATTCTAGGCCTGGAGGTGATAGCATGACAAAAAGCAGGTTTAGTATTTATAGACAATAAAAAACCGAGTAAACACGTACTGTGTCAGATGAGGATAAATCCTATGATAAGAAATGCAAGCTGGAAAGGTATGTAGGGAATGCTGGGTGAGTTGCAGGCTAACCAAGAATGGCAATAATAAAGAACCAACCATCAGTGACATTTCCAGAGACATATTTTCACTTACCTCCTATATAAACAATTTTTTTCCAGGTCTCAGACTCTAGGACTTTGTCGTGTGGGTAGTAGCTCTGGTCGATCATGAACAGAATCATGAGTGAGGCCATGCAGCAGAGAATGAATGTGTTGCCCTTGGTCAGAAGGGAGGTGGAAGCCAACACACAGGAGGCGTAGGGGCAGGGTAGACCCTTGTATGAAAAGGAAACTCCTGAGAGAGAAGGAGTCATGAGGATCAGCTGATTCTCTGCTCACAGACACCCAAACACCATCAGCCCCTCCCTCCCTTCTTCCCCTCTCCAAGCTACAGAATTCTCTTAGCCCAGGGGCAGCCCAAGCTCTAGATCATTTAGTTGTCTACAAGCATGCTGTGTGAGTTTTACATTGGGTTTCCAAGAGAAAACGAGCCACTGTGAGGACCCAGGTGTGCCCCAACCCCTGGGAAATCTCTGGTTTCTATCTGGGGAACAGGATTGAGACCTCCATTTCTAGAGTCCATGAAGCAATGAACTCCACCCAATGATCACACAGACAATGAAGCACAGCTGCTCCAAGAAATGAGCCTGTAGACCAGGGTTCTGCCACACGGTCCACAACCTCCAGTAAGCATGGGACTTGTAAAAAGAATGAGGGAAAGACTCCCCTAAGAAGTCTGTTACCCAACCCCTAGGCTTCTGGCTTCCAGCAGTCTTCCCTCTCCGTGGTTCCCTCCTGAAGTCCTCAGGCTACCTGGGTTCCACTCACCAGATGAATAAAAACACAGGCGGAAGGAAGTGGTGAGCACATAGAGGATGGCCAGGAACCCATTCAGAGGCCCATCTACACCAAGGAGCAGGGCCGAGGCCAGGCCGAAGGTGGTGAAGCCAGCAAAGTCATTCAGCTCAGTTCCTGCTCCAGAGGCCCAAGGTCAGAACTCAGACTCATGTCTTGCACCATAGCCTCCCTCTAATGACAAGTAGGGTCCTGAGGTCCCACAGGGCAGCAGGTGCTTCCCCAGGTTAGTTTATACATCAAAGCCTAGGGTGTCCTCCCAGCTGTGGCCTCTCCAGGTTAATAGTGTCCCCATCAATTAATATGCAAGGCTTGTGCTGCAATCACATGCAAATCGACAAGTGTGGGACCCTTTTTTCAAGAAAAGTCTTACATGGAAACATCACAGGATTTGAAACCAGCTGCCTTGCTGGTTTCCCTTCCCCTATGTTTCCAATATGTCTCAGTCCAGACACAAAGGCAGGGCAGGTAAGGATGCAGAACACCAGGACAGTTCTGGCCAAGGATGGGTTAGTGAGTCAGCAGAGGGGCTGGTGCTAGGTTGTGGGCTCCCTAACTCCTGCTCCAGGGCTGCACCTACTATTCACAGATATATGAGAACCAGAAGGGCCTGTTGGGTGTGCCTGGAGGTGGGTGTTCCTGGGGCACGATTAGGGGCCTGAGGCCTGGACTCACCTGGTTTGCAGCAGATGTGGAGGTGTCTGGTCATGGTCCCTACTGCCATGTCCAACAGGAAGCTGATCAGAAGCATCCAGGAAGCACAGTGGGATTTCCTAAAGGGCAGGGCAGCTCTTCATAGTCCCCACTAGGCAACACTCCCCATACACAGCCCTGCACATTTCCTACACCTGCACACATATGCACAGCCAAACCTGTCTCCCACCCTTACACCCTTTCCGATATATACCACCTTACACTTCACCCCCTCCACACCCTCATATGTGCCCCATCTCTCCCAAACTCTCAACACATAGTCTAAAAGGGGTTCCCTAAATCCCCAGAGTAGTCACTAAGGTCCCTTCCAACCTCAAATTCCAGGCATATTTGATGGCACAGGGGTCATTTGTAGGTCCTAGTCCAGCTCTACCACCATCTCACTCTGAATTTTCAGATAAATCACTAACCCCTCTCTAGGCCTCTGTTCCACCTCATATAAAAAGAGGAGTTTATGATAATTGATTTTTTCTTTCTTTTCCTTTTTATTTTTCTTTCTTTCTATTTTTTTTTTTTTTTGGCAAGTTCTCACTATGTAACCTCATAGGCTGGCCTCCATTTCATAATCCTCCTTCCTCAGTCTCCTGAGTTCTTGGATTACAGGTGTGTACCACCACACCCAGTTAAATGATTTATTTTTTATTAACATATACTAATTGTGAAAAATAATGGGTTCCATTATGACAATGACATTTTCATACATGTATATAATGTATTTTGATCATATTTACCCCCCTTTTCCTTTTGTTTGTTTGGTTTCTTTTTAGCTGTACTAGGGTTTGAACTAAGGTCTTCACATTTGCTTGGCAGGTGCTCTGTCACTTGGACTGCACCCTCAACATTTATGCTTTAGTTGTTTTTACAATAGGGTCTCAAGTTTATGCCCAGGCTGGCCTGGACTGACTGTGATCCTCCTATTTACGATTCCTACATACTGGGATGACAGATATGTGCTACCGTGCTACCATGCCCAGCTTTTTATTAGTTGAGATGGGAATCTCTTGAAGTTTTTGCCCTGGCTGTCTTCAAACTGCAATCCTCCTGATCTCCAGGTAGTTAGGATTACAGGCATGAACCACTGCATGGCTCCTAAATAATTTCTTTTAACAGATAAAAATCAATTCAGGTGATCTGTTTCTCCTTGTATGAGTTTTGATAGCTTATGTCTTTTTTTGTTTGTTTGTTTGGAAAATTTGTTTTTGGAGATAGGGTCTCACTACATACCTCAAACTGGCCTCAAACTTGTGATCCTTCAGCCTCAGTGTCATGAGTGCTGTGATTACAGCTGTGTGTCACTACACCAGGTTAAGTAACTTTTCTTCTTCTTTGCAGTACTGGCAATTGAATTCAGGGCCTCAACCATACTTGGTAAGCATTCTATCACTGAGCTATACCCCTAGCCTGGTAGCTTATGTCTTTTAAGGGATTAATCCATTTCATCTAGGCTATCAAATTTGTAGGCATAGAATTATTCATAGTATTGCTTTATTATCCTTTTTTTTTTCAGGGGGGGGGAAGAGGAGGACTGAGGTTTTGAATTCAGGGCTTTGTGCTTGCTAGGTAAGTGCTCTACCACTTGAGCAATGCCCCAAGTCCTTTTAGCTTTAGTTATTTTACAGATAAGGTCTCATGCCTTTACCTGGGCTGGCCTCCTTGGACCTTGATCCTCCTACCTCACCTCCTGAGTAGCTGAAATTACAGGTGTGCATGAGGGTTGAACTCAGGGCCTTGCACTTGCTAGGCAGGTACTCCACCACTTGGGCCACACTGCCAGACCCCAGCCTGTTCTTCAATATAGGGTCTCACTAACTTCTTGCCAGATGGCTTGTGTGGAACCACCATCCTTCTATCTCTGCCTCTCAACTAGCTAGGATGACAGGCATGAGCTACCATGCCTGCCCTCATTATCTTTTCAATGTTCATAGGTCAGTAATGAAGCATTTCTGATATTTCTGATATTGGTAATTAGTGCCTTCATTTTTCTTAGTTAGCCTAGTCGGAGGTATATCAATCTTAATGACCTTTTCAAAGAATCAGCTTTTGATTTCATTGATTCTCTCTACTAATTTTCTGTTTTTGATTTTTTAAATTGCTCTAATTTATTTTCTCCTTTTCTTTTTTCTAGTTTCCTAAGGTGAATGCTTAATTATTGGTTTTTTTATCTTTGTTCTTTTCTAATACAGTCTTGTGCCATATAACAGTGTTTTAGTCTACTCTAGACCACACATAAGACATATATGATGGTTGTCTCATAAGATTATATCATCTAGTCATGTCATTAACCTACGATCCCACAACAATGAAATCACCTAACATTGCATTTCCATGTGTGGCTATTTATGTGTTCAATGCTATAAATTTCCCTGTGAGCACTGCTTTTCTCATTCCTCACAAATTTTGGTACATTCTATTTTCATTCTCTTTTAATTCAAAATATTTTAAATTTCTCTTGAGTCTTCTTTAATCCACATTTAGAAGTGTGCTGTTGTTTAACCTCCAAATATTTCAGGATTTTCTAGCTATCTTTCTATTATTGATTTCTAGTTTAATTCTTATTTCAGAATGACCTGATCACTCTTTTAAATTTGCTAAGGTGTGTTTTATGGCCCAGAATGTGGTCTGTCTCCATGAATGCTCCAACTGAGCTTGAGAAGGATGTGTATTCTACTGCTATTGGATGCAATCGTCTACCTATGTCAGTTACATCAGCAGACTGATGGTGCCAAAGAGTTTAACTGTATTCTTGCTGGTTTTCTGCCTGAAACAACAGAAATCTCCAACTATCATAGTGTATTTATCTATTTTTTTTCCTTGTAGTTCTCTAAGTTTTTAATGCTCTGAATGACTTCCAGGAACTCTCTCTTGGGTTTTGAGTCATGCTCATCACACACTCCCAGGTCCCCTACCACAATCCCATGCAAACCAGTTCTTGAAGACCTGTTCCCAAATCTGCACCCTGACTACAGATTCTGGCCTAGCAGAATCAAGCAGAGAGCCTGATCTCAGACTTCAGGTGTCCCCAAACACCTCAGCATTTCCCTTGCTTAAATCCAGACCTAAGTATCAAAAGGAGACTGAGGCTAAACAAAAATACTGAACCTATCATTTTATACCATTGTGGTATAAAAACTATATTCCCAGATTTGGCTGAACTTAGAAGACACAGATTTTCTGTTGTAGATGTGTTTCCCCCCACACACTTTATTAGACTCTAAAACTCCAAAATTAGACACTCATAAAAGTTTCAAGCTAGGCCGAGCACCATGTCTGTAATCCTAGCTACTTAGGAGGCTGAGATCAGAAGGATCAGAAGGCCAGCCAGGGCAAATAGTCTGAGAGACCTCATCTCCAAAATAACTAGAGAAAAATGGACTGGAAGCATAGCTCAAGTGGTAGAGCACTTGCTTGGCAAGTGCAAACCCCTGAGTTCCAACCCCAGTACCACCAGGAAAAAAAAAGTTTCAAGTTAGAAGGAAGCTTAAACATTACAATCTTGCTATAAGGACAGATTCAGAAAGAAGTCACTTGCTGATGGTTATAGAGAATCAAGTACTTTAGGCGGGTGTGCTTTGCACTGTAAAGGATTTCTCTTTAAAGAAATTTCCCAAAGGCACTGAACTATGATTCAGCTAATGCTTATAACTTTTTTGGGGCACATATCCATGTTTCAGATTTTCCAGAACAGTGCTAATTTCAAATATTCTGCCAGGTCATATGTTGTGTTTTAAGAATCAGAAAATATGAACAGTAGACAGAATCTCTTGGTTTTTCTCATAAAAAACATTCTAGACTGCCATAGCTGAAAGAACTATAGAGATCATAATGAAAGGTCCTCATTTTACAGAAGGAGAAACTTAGAGGCCCAGGAATGTGACTAGCCAAGGTCACATATCAGGTTGGTGTCAGGATCTTGGCCCCTGGCTTGTAAGCCACTGCACTTTCCCCCCTCCCTGAAGTTGATTCCTGTGCCATGGTGCCCAGCTCTCTAGACTCCCCCTCCCCATTCCTCAGGCCATGGGCTCTGGCTTTAGTCTAACAGTATGCTGGGCCCCAGACCTACCTGCTGAAGCTACAAAAGATGGAGAAGATCCCTAGGACCATGTTGGCCACGGATAAGGCATTGGTAACATCCTTCCAGGACAGTTCATTCATCTGGCAGTGGCGGTGATCATGGCTCAAGGAAAAACTGGTGCACTTTGCTGGAGCCCAGGAAAGAGGGGCAAGGAGTTCCCAAGGTCAAAGAGACTTCCAAAGACCTTGCAGTTCCTGTGCCCATAGACCTCATTCCAGGACTGTATCCTCCCTACACTCTGTTTCAGTGGCAGCACTAAGAAGAACCGGGAGAAGATGGAGGAGATGCAGGAAGTGAAGACAAAAGTGTGCTGAATGGAGATGGAGGGTCTCAGGAAGTTCAGTAGCAGAGCCAGTGAACTCACACAACCATCATTTCCTCTCTCTCTCTGTCTCTCTCTCTCTCTCTCTCTCTCTCTGACTTGCCCCTCTCCCATAGCACAGACATCATCCTACTCCACATGCTGACCCTCCTGGCACCCCCAAAGCTTCCATCTGAGAGCTGGACCGTTGTCATAAACTAAGAACTGACTTGAGAGGGAAGTGGAGCAGGAGCCCCCTTTGTCCTACAGGCAAACTCATTCCTCAGGCGCCTTGGGCTGAGGTGTCCCAAGGCCCTGGTTCTGCATGCCCACCTCTAATGGGGCGGGGGGAAGGGGAAGGCACAAATGAATATGCACTGAGAGCTCTCAGTGGTTCACCCAGTGCTTTTCACTATGTTCTCACTTCTGGTCCGGAGTACCTTGGGAACTGGTGCTGTTCTTCCTTCTTCCTCCCATTTTATGAATGAGGAAACTGAGGTTCAGAAAAATGGAGATATTTGCTCAAAGTCATACCCTAAGTGAGTAGGACCAAATCCTGCCTACTTGGTCCTAAATCTGATCTGCTTCTGCTTGGGGCAGAGACACCAGTGAGAGGAGGTTTGGGGGCTAGGACAGTGAGGGAGATTTGGCCCTGCTGGGCAGCAGTAGCCTCCCCATGGAGGGCAGCTGTGTCCAGGTCTCTGGCTGCCTGGTCTCTCATAGCATCAGGGAAACCAACCCACCCTGCCCATCTTCACATCTTGGCTCTGTTTTTACTCTAAGATCAAACTGCTTGTGAAACAGAGACCCAGTCCTCTCTGAGAGAGATAAGCCTCACTGATTGGGGGTAAACACACTCATCCTGAACTTGAGTAAAATATACAAGTTCCAAGGTGTTCTCCTGTCTGTTTTCTCATTTAATCCTCACCCATTTTGAGGGTCAGCCCTGTCTCCAGGCAGCCCCTCTGGACAGCCCCAGGCCCTTCTGGTCTGAGCAAAAATTGAGATAAAACACATTCTTTCCCATAAACCCTGCCACAAAGGTGTCAGAGGCTGGGAAATGCTGGACTTGGGTTTGGGATGGAGTTTCTCCGGGCAACACCATAGGGCTCACTGCTCCCACAGGCAACCTTACTCACCAAAGGAATCAATAGCTGTGTGGCCAACACCATCTGGATTAAGACCTTCCTCCCCTCCCCGCAGGGATCCTCAAATACTAAGACAGGAAGCAACACAAGCCTTGGAAAGCTGGGAGGGAGTGGGGTAAAGGACTGACTGCATAATTCCTCTCCATGAACCTACTACAACCATGTCTCCTGGGTTTCAGGGCTGACTCCAGCAAAACCTCTGTTTGTGAGTCAGGTACCTCATCATTGCCAGCCCTGCCCACTGTCTCCCGGCAGAACAGCATTCCAGCTTCTCTGCCCCTCAGGACCAGTCAGCAGATGCCCAATCTTCCAGTAACCGGGCATTGCCTTGTCTGTACTACTTCACAGCTGTTTATTTTTGGAGGTTCTGAGGTTTGAACTCAGAGCCTTACATTTGATAGGCAAGCACTCTACCACGTGAACCACACCCTCAGCCTTTTTGTTTTAATTTATTTTTTAGGTAAAGTCTCAAGCCCAGGGCTGGCCTTGGACCACAGTCCTCCTCCTCCCCTCCACCTCCACCTCCTGAGTAGCAGGGATTACAGGCCCCACCTGTTTTATTTGAGTTTTTTTCTCGTTTATTCATATGTGCATACATTGTTTGGGCCATTTCTCCCCTCTCCCCCCTCCTCCGCCCCTTCCTCTTCCCCCCGTTTTATTTTAATTATGATCAGTCATCTACTGTATTGTATACTCAGTTCTCAGAGCATGTTCACACTGAGGATTTCCATTGGGCCTGTGAGCTCTGAGCTATTATCCCCACTTTCCAAGAAGGCAAAGAAGACTCAGGGAGGAGAAGACAGCTCAAGGCCGCAGTGGAAATGGCAGGACAAGACTCACAACTTCACCTTAAGTGTTCTTCCCTCTGTGCTCTGCCCAACAACAGGAGGGAGCATTGCATTGGCTATATGCTCAGCCTGAGCTAGAGGCTGGGAGAACCCCAGGTCCCTGCCTTCAAGGAATTTATAACCTACCCAGGGAAATGAGACTCATGTATGCACGTAGAGACTCTCTTCATGGTGGCACCTCATCTTACAAATGGGTAAAATGAGGTTTCAGGATGGTTAAATCACTTGTCCCAGTAAACAGTGGAGCCAGGACTTGAATTGGGCCTCCTCTTTCCCAATTAAATGCTATTTGTAGTATAATCCACAGGCCCCAGGAATGAGACGATGTAGACCTGAGAGTAAGGGCTGTACAAATCCACAGAAATAAGGAGCGATCCACTCACTGTGTGAGCAGGATTTGATGCCTGGTGCTTGGAACACAGAGATTAAGATCTGGTCTCATCTATCATAGCCAGGCAGGGGTACCCAATCCTGCACAGAAAAGGAAACATGACCACACTATTTGGGAGTACAGAAGAGGGACCCAGACTCAGGAGCTGAGGTGTGTGTGTGCAGCCCTGGCCTAAAATAGGCCTGCCTGCCTTTTTTTTTTGTGTGTGTTACTGGGGTTTGAACTCAGGGCTTTGTGCTTGCAAAGCAGGCACTCTACCACTTACATCCAGTCCATTTTGCTCTGGTTATTTTGGAGATGGGATCTCATAAACTATTTGCCTGGGATGGCCTCAACTGGCAATCCTCCCAATCTCCCAAGTAGCTAGGATTATAGATGTGAGCCACTGACACCCAGCACACTCCAGCTTCTTGAATGCCTGAGGAATGGAGTCCAACTCCTTCACATGGCATACCCATCCTGCTCAGCTTGCCAGCAACCCCTCTCCAGCCTCTCTTAACCCCTTCTGGGACCTCCCTTAGGTCTTGGCTGGGCACTGGTCCTGTTTGAGAAGCCTCTTTGACATCCCATGGAGCCTGTAGGTGCTCCTCCTCTGTAAGGTCACAGCTCCTAATGCTCACCGGGTGACACTTGGCACTCTGTACTGGCAACGCCTACCTTGTCTTCCTTTTTTGCTATAGGGGACACAATTTGAGTGCAGACCGGGGTCCCCTGTGCCCAGCATGAGGTCTGAAAATAGAAGGTGTTTAATGTTGGTTAATATAGTCCGCTACTGTGGTCTTCCCAGGTCCCCTGCACTAAATCTTACATACCAGGAGTCTGACCCCGGTCATTGTGGGCTTTAAGAAGCCTTCTCAGATGAACTCTTAGCAACCCACACCCTCTGGCACATTCAGAAACTGCTCAATCCTTATGATCTTCCATTCATTCCTTTAATTTCCTATCTTGGGTTGGGGTGTGTGGAGTTCAAGTAGAGTGCCTGTCTAGCAAGCTTGAGGCCCTGAGTTCAAACCCCAGTACAATATGTGCGTGTGTGTGTGTGTGTGCGCGCGTGTGTGTGTTCTTTCTCTTTTTCCTGATGCCTGCTTTGTACCAAGACCTTGTGTATTGACAAGACCCAGGAGACACCCTAAGAAGCTAGAGCCTGGTCAGGCATTGTGGTGCATGCCTGTAGTCTCAGCACTCAGGAGACTGAGCAGGAGGATCATGAATTTGAGACCAGCCTGGGCTACAAAGCAAGACCGTCTCAAAAAAAAAAAAAAAAAAAAAGCTAAATTATGAAGGGACAAGTATTATGTCACACAAGGACATGTGCCAGCTGCCCTGGGTGCTCCCAGGAAGGAGAGACCACGTCTGGGTGGGGACAGAGGAAGGTGTCACCAATGTGGTAACATTTACCAGGGTCTCTAAGAATGAGGGGTGGCATTCTTGGCAAAGGGAACTGCAGGTGCAAAATCAGAGAGAGGAGGCTGGCTTCCAGAGGGAGGGAGTGACTGCAGATGTAACCTTAAATTTCAGGCAGTGCCGTGTTTGGGAAGGGTACCGTGTCTTGGTCAACAATGGGTGGGGGGGAGTGAAGGGTAGTTTGAGGGGACAAACTGGGAAAAGGAAACCGGCCAGGAACGTGAGAGGAAAAGGCATGGCCCTGAGGAAGCAGTGGGAGTTGAGCCTGACTCGGGTTTTCAGAAAAAGTAATGGGTGGGAGAAGCAGGGCTGGGTGGAGCAAGGAAGCAGGTAGGTTTACCAGCAGAGGCTTCTTCTCACTGAGAGGAGTAAGAGACGTCGGCCCCGCGCTCACTCCCTATTGGCTAGAGACCATCTCCCCCACCTCCCCAGATCCCGCCTTCTGAGGACCCAGAATCCCCATCTGGGTTATCCCGAGGGGTGCCCAGGCGTGAGTCTATGCCGGGACCACCCGAGAGGACATGGAGGATGGAGATGCACAGGCTGGCCGAGAGTCCGCTGCTTGCTTGTGGCGGATGCTCACCTGGGGACAAGACATTCCTAGATGGATGTGGGGCACGCACTCCTTCCCCAGCTGCCTGTTTGATGGAGGTGCCAGCTCAGGTGGGGGCGCGCCATAGGGAGCCAAGCCTCTTACCCCAGACTCTTAGCTCACAATCCCGAGCGCAGGGAGGGGCTGCCTTTAGACAGAGGCAGGGGGAGGAGGGATGCTCAATTTCCAGGGGCGCCCTAGGTCTTGGAGTGGGGCAGCGGGGACTTTGGAGGGATATCAGGGGAGAGGACTGTTTTCTCCATCTTGACGAGTCTGAGACACTTCTTGGTGCAAATCTGGCTGCAGAATGCCTGGGGTAGGAAGTGAGCTGGGAGTAAGTTAGAAAAGACAGGGCTGTAAAAGAAGACAGGGACGCTGGGGTCCATATCATGAAGCGCCCCTTGAACGTCAGCTCCATGCCGGCAGAGGTTTTTGTACAGTTTGGTTCACTGCTGTTCTTTGTGCTTATAAGAGGGCTTAGGCATATAGTAATCCTTGTCAGAAGGATGACAAACTAAAGAATTTGAAATCAACACTGAAGTCAATGTTGACTGGTCTGGTTGTTTCAGAAAGGTTATTGTGGCAGGCATTGTGGAGGAGGGATTTTTAACGCTGCCCTTACACAGTCAGGAAGATCAGGGCCACAGAAAGGAAGAAGCGAAGAGGCAAGATGGAATTCCAAGGGGTGAGGGAAGCCTGAAGGGAAGGAGGTAAGAGCATCCCAGAGGTGTCTGGATTTGACGGTTGGATGCATGGTGCACTTTGGAAAGAAGAAACTTCTCTGGTACTGGGTAGGATTTCAGGCACCTGTTCTAAGTAGGGCTCCCCACAGGCACTAGTCTACCATAAGACTAAACTGTGCCTGGCAGAATATGCATAGGGAAGGGTGGAGTTACAAGGCCAAGTGACACTGCAACCAGCAAGGGAAAGGAGGCATACAGGACCAGGCATGTCCTGAGGGGCTACCATACAGCCGGCACTGTACTACATGTTATATAGACATTATCCTCACCTCACTGGATCTGACATTGGTATCAACATTGTAGTTCTACAGAAAAGGAAATGGTGAGTCAGGTAATTGATTCTACTGACAATTATTCCATTAATAATGAGTAGAGAATCAGATGTGGTTGTTCACACCTGTAATCCAAACACCCAGGAGGCTGAGGCAGGAACATGGAAGAGTTCAAAGCCAGACTGGGATACATGGTGAGTTTGAGGTCAGCCTCGGCTAGACTTGGAGCTGGGCTGGGGCTTGTCTCAACACAAATAAATAAACAGCAGAGCTGAGACCTGAAAATAATTTGACACTAGAATCAGACCTGGGGTGTCTGAAAAACTAAAAAGAATGGAGGCATAAGTCTGAACCAGAGTCAGGCTGGCTCATTTCTGTTCTTCATGTGCTTATCTCCTTTTCTCCCTGCCATGTAGACTATTAAAGGACAAATTCAGCCAGGTGTTGGTGGCTCACACCTGTAATCCTAGCTACTCAGGAGGCAAACATCAGGAGGATTACAGTTTAAAGCCAACTTGGACAAATAGTTTGTGAGACTCTTATCTTGAAAATACTTGACCCAAAAATAAAGGCTGGAAGAGTGGCCCAAGTGGTAGAATGCCTACCTAACAAGTGTGAGGTCCTGAGTTCAAAGCCCAGTATCATGAAAAGAGAAAGAGAGAGAAAAATTAAAACCGTTAGACTACCAACTCTAACTTTAAATCAAGCTTACATTCCAGCTCTAACACGAGGTGTGTAAATTTGAACAAGTTAACATTGCTTTTCTGAACCTATTTCCCAATCTGTAAAATTCGGTTTTTGAGAAATGAGATTATATGAAGTGTTTAGCACCCAGTAGAATCTAAGTCATCATCATTATTATGGACCCTGGGAAGATCATTCATCTATAAACTAGGACATTCATTCCCACAGCTCTCTTCATAAAGAAAGGAAGCAGAGATAGCTGAGAAAGAACCTCCTCCTCCTGTGTTTCCTTTCCAGCTTCTTCCTATTCAGAAGGAAGATAGCTATGCTATCTACACTTGCACTAATTAGGCAGTCACCAGCCACCTGTGACTGTCAAGCACTGCAAACATAGCTAGTCTGAGATGTACTCTTAAGCGAATGCACACCAGAGTTTGAATTCTTAGTTTAAAAAAGAATGTAAAAATAATAACTTTTAGTATTATTTGCTGAAGTGCTAACGTTTTAGATATGCTGGGTTAGAGAAAAATGTATTATTAATTTCACCTGTTTTCACTTTTTTAATGTGGCTAACAGAAAATTTTCACTCACTCATGCATCTCACATTCTATTTCTAGTAGCTGCACTAAGTCAGATGCTTTACAAGACATAAATGCAGAGCTACCGCTTACTACTCACTGGCTTACTACTATGGTACCTGCTAGGTGCCAGAGATATAGCAGCACCCAAGACAGACAGAATTTCTGTCCTCCTAGAACTTACACTCAATTATAGGAAAGAAGTGAAAAGTAAGTGATTTCAATCATGGCAAGTGCTACAGAAAATGAAGCAGGATTGAGTTATTTTGGTGAGAGAACAGTGCATATTTCAGATAGAGTAACCAGGAAGCAGGGGCCTAAATGAGCAGAAGACACAAACTATGCAAAGATCTCAGGGATAACATTCCAAGCAGATGGAATAGCAAATGTAAGGATCATAATGCAGGAATGAGCTTGGCGAGTGGGAACAAGTTAGTTGTGTAGCAGGGACAGAGTACCTACCGCGTAGAGTACCGAGATTGGTAGACTGCAGAGAACCTTGGCAAGAAGTCTGGATTTATGCTAGGTGTATTAAGCAACTCTTGGGATGTTTCCAGAGATGCTGTAATCTGATTTATAGTGTTAAAAGATGATGCTGGCAGTCTCTGTGAAGACAGACTGGAGGGTAGGAATGCAAGCAGGTTAGGCAAGCCAGGAGGCTACTGTATTAGTCCAGGCTAGAGATGTTGGTGGCTTGGATCAAGGGGGAAGGGTGGAAGTGGTGAGAAGCAGTCAGACCTGTGATGTATTTTTAAGACAGAGCTGAGAAAACTTGCTGATTGGTGTGGGAAAAACAGATGGAATTAAGGGTATCTTAAGTTTTCAGCCTCGGGAGCAGTATGAGACAGGTACTGATGGAAATATAGAGGACTAGGGCTGACAGGTTTTGGGGGCAAATTCAAGTTTAGTTGTGGACATAAGTTTGTAATGACTTGTGAGTCAAGTGGAGATGCCAAGTAAGGCTGCTGGAAAAACAAGTGTACATGAGCTCAGGGACAGACCAGAGCTAGAGACATACACGAGTCAGCAGTTCAGGGGTGGGATTTAAAGTCTTGGAAATGGGTTAGATCACCAGCAGGGAGAAAAAGAGGGCCAAGGACCTGGCCCTAGAGGCTGGGTATCAGGAAGAGGTGGGTTAGGTGCAGAAAAGGTACAATCAATGGAGGAGGAGAAAAGCAGGTTATGATAATATTCCAAATTGAAAAGAAGAAAAAAAGTTTTCAAGTGGGAAGTGGTCCACTGAATCTGCTTAAGACCTCAGAAGTCTAATTTCTCCAGGTACTTAGTGGCTCCTCCCTCTCAAGCTCTAGCTCCTTGAGAGAGGAGCCCTATCTTCTAGAGACAAGTTTTGCACATGGGCTTCAATGCCAGAGACATGGGTTCAAGTACTTATATGTAGTATGATATTGGAAAAATTACTAACTTCTCAGGCCTCAGTATTCCTCCTCTACATACTGATCATTAAACACTAGGTGAACTACTCCCATAGTGTGTCATATGCTCATGTTACTCTATCACTTTGTGTGTGTGTGTGGTACTGGGGGTTGAACTCAGGTCCTTGCACTTGCTAGGCAGGAGCTCTATCACTTGAGCCATGCTAACTGTCCTTTTTATATTGGTTATTTTGAGATAGCATCTCCATTTATGCTGCGGGCCAGCCTGGACTATGATCCTCCTGTCTGTGTTTCCCTTTGTAGCTGAAATGACAGGCACAGGCCACCATACACAGTCACTGGTTGAGATGGACTTTCTGTGGGTAATTCTGCCTGGGCTGATCTCATATTATGCTTCTCCCAATCTCTGCCTTCCATGAAGCTAGAATTATAGGCTTGAGCTCCTGCACCTAGCCCTATCGCTTTTGTAATATAACTTCTTTACAGCCCCAGATCCTCTAGGACTGCCTTACTCCACCAAAATATGATTAAAGTTATGATTGGACTTGAATCAAACAGGACTGTGTTTGAATCTGACTTCTACCACATGCTATCTGTATAACCATGGGCCACTCTCTGAATCTGAGCAGATGCTCCCTTTCTGTACAACAGAAATACATACCTCATAAATGATGATTAAATGAGGTAATGGGTATAAATGGCAGAATAAAAGTTCACTAGACAGTTATTTCTCACCTTTTCATCTACAACACTAACTGTCAATACACATGGACTGCCTGATTTTACCTGAGAAGGTAAGGATACAAACAAGACTCCCCTCAACTACAGAAGGCGGAAAGATCGCCTGTGCTTATAGACTGGTAGAATCAACATAGTAAAAATGGCTATACTACCAAAAGCAATCTACATGTTTAATGCAATTCCCATCAAAATCCCAATGACATTCATCACAGAGATTGAAAAATCTACTCTAAAGTTCATTTGGAAACACAAGAGACCGTGAATAGCCAAGGCAATACTCAGCAAAAAGAGCAATGCTGGAGGTATCACAATACCCAACTTCAAACTATATTACAAAGCAATAGCAATAAAAATAGCATGGTACTGGCACAAAAACAGATACCAGTGGAAAAGAATAGAGGACCCAGATATGAATCCACACAGCTATGCCCACCTTATTTTTTGACAAAGGCACCAAAAACACACGATGGGAGAAAAGACAGCCTCTTCAAATGTTGCTGGGAAAAGAGGCTATCTGCCTGCAGAAAACTGAAACTAGATCCATGCCTATCACCCTGTACTAGTATCAACTCAAAGTGGATCAAGGACCTTAATATCAGACCCCAAACTCTGAAGTTAGTACAGGAAAAAGCAGGGAATATTCTGGAAGCAATAGGTACAGGCAGGACTTCCTCAATAGAACCCCAGCAGCTCAGTAACTAAGAGAAAGGATGGACAAATGGGACTACATAAAATTAAAAAGCTTCTGCACAACAAAAGAAATGGTCTCTAAACTGAAGAGACCACCCACAGAGTGTGAGAAAAAATTTGCTGCCAAAACAAAGCTTCTTGAAGACCAGTGTTACTAAGTCCCTATCCCAAATCCTTCCTCTAGGTTCCTTTTCCCTGACTTTTTTTTTTGGTGGTACTGAAGTTTGAATTTAAGGTCTCATGCTTGCTAGGCAGGGGATCTACCATGTGAGTCACTTCTTGTGCTGGGTATTTTTATTGGGGCTTGCACACTATTTGCCCGGCTGGCCTCCAACCTTGATCCTCCTGATCTCTGCCTTCTGAGTAGCTAGGATTACAGATATGAGCCACTGGTACCTGACTTTGTCCTAGCCTCTTTATTTTACTTGATGATACTGGTGATTGAACTCACACTTGAGCTTGCTAGGCAAGCATTCTACCACTTGAGCATGTCCCTGTCTTCATTTTAGACTGCTGCCCATGTCATGTTGCCTACCAACATGTTATTTTTTGTCTTACATTATTTTTTTATCTGGAATTGCTTTTTCTTTCTTTCTTCACTTATCGCTTAGTTATTAAAGACATAAGAATTTTCTAGCCAGTATAATCTCACTGCAACACTTCTGATGGCCGGGATTGCTTTGGTTGATATAGGTTACTAAGAGAATGTCCCCTTTCTTTATTCACAAATAAGCTCCATCCAACAATGAACCCTAGCTGGGTACCAAAGATCAGGAGGATCATAGTTCAAAGCCAGCCCAGACAAATAATGTGAGAGATCCTATCAAAAAAACCCACCACAAAAACAGGGCTGGTGGAGTGGCTCAAGGTGTAGGCCCTGAGCTCAAGCTCCAGTACTGCAGAAAAAACAATCCTACCTAACACTCAAAAGACAACCTTCCCATAGACAGGATAATTGAGGTCTCCAAAAATTTATTTTTCAGCACCTAAGCAGGCATCAGCTCTTCAAAGTTTTCCCAAATTCTCCAAGCTGAGTAAGGTGCTTCTCCCCAGTGTTCTATAATATCCATGCATACCTCTATCACAGCCCTTTTACCATGTTGTCATGAATGACTTGCTTCTTCACCTACTAGACTGAGCTTCTTTGAAATAGGGCCCTGTTTTATCCAGTCATAGTCTTCTCTAAACTCTGGTAGCTAGAAGACACTTAATACTTATAGAATTACTGGATGGACAGATGGATGAGTAGGTAAGTGTGGTTACCACATATACAGTCACTGAGGCCTCATGCCCCATCTTGAGGTGCAACATGCAAAACCACTGCACATTACCACTGTCCTTCCCTAAGCCTGGTAATTGGATTAACCAGGAAAGATCAATAGCACTACCTCGTGGTCAGTGCAGAGAGCACATCTTATTGAACAGAGGAAGTCTGTCTTTTGTATCAAATGCTCTCCAGCATTTTCAAAGGATCAACCTGATGACTGCATGAAGAATGGGCTGGAGCGAGGACATGGGGGAAAGCAAGAATGCCAGCTGGGAGGTTGTTTTGTCCAAGCTAGTCTAGGCCTGTGACTTCAAACCATCACACTTAACACACTTCATATCACTGCCTCTTTTACCCAAAAGTGACTTTTTAAAAACTCTGAACCTGAGCACTGTAGCAGATTGTAAGATCTGTTCAAAACACAACAGTTCTGCCTTCTGGTATTTATGCCCTGTGTAATTCCTTCCCTTGAGTGTAGACTGGCCTAGGGACCTGCTTCTAACCAACAGGAGATGCCACTTGTGTGATCACATTACAAAAGACTACAACTTCTGTCCTGCTAACAGACTCTGATCCTTTCCACCTTGATAAAAAGAGGTGCCACACTGCACTAGTTCACGTGGTAAGGAACTGAGGGTGACCTCTGGCTAACCATCAGCTAGTGAACTGAGAGCTCCCTTAATCCAATAACCCTCGAGGAACTGAAATTCTGCCAACATTATTAGTGAGCTTGGAAGCAGATGGAAAGGCCTTGAAAACCCAGTCCTAGCCAATAACTTGACAGCAGCCATGCAGGGGTTTTGGGGAAATCCTAAGGCAGAAGACCCAGTGAAATGGTGCCTGAATGCTTTACATGAAATAATACGTGTGTTGTTTTAAACCCCTAAATTTGTGCTCAAGATGTGTCATTACCATAGAGGTCAGAGACTTGGGAGACTTTCTGTGGTCAGAATTAACTATTGTGAAAAAAGAAAAAAAAAAAAAAAAGAATTAACTATTGTACCGCTAACATGTCTTCTCTCCAGCTCTGCAGCACCCCAGCAAGGGGCTTTTGTAAGCTCCATTCCACAAAACAGCTCCACGGGAACTGAGTGACCAAGTATCACCTCTGTGACCTTGTTAGATTCTAACCCCTTTTGCTAGGCCTGCCCCATTTATAGCTCATAAGGAACAGTCGTGAACATCTGGATAGGGTAGGGTATAACTGGGTAGATCAGCACAGAGAACACACCTCTCACTTATTTTATAGCATATTACAACAGATTATATGGCACTGAAGGAAGTACAGCCATGCTGGACATGCCATAAATTTAGTTAATTCTGCTGAACAAATAGGAAATAAGGTAGAGCCCAGTCAAAATCAGAACAAGAGTAATTTAGCCAAAAATCCTCCATTCGGTTCATGAATTATATTTCAATCTGAGTTGATTTATAACCTGAGTAAAAGAGGTTGGCTGTTTTCCTTGTTTCTCACTCTGGATGCCTGTTCTCTCTTCTACAATATCTTTTTTTTCTGGAGGAGGGGGAGAGTAGTACTGGGGTGAAGTCAGGGCCTTGCACTTGCTAGGCAGGCACTCTATGACTTGAGTCACACCCCCAGACCTTTTTGTTTATTTTTCAGGTAGGGTCTCACATTTTTACCTGGGCCCAGCCTGGACATTGATCCTCTTACTAGCTATGGTGACAGGCACAACATATAATGCCCAGCTTTTTGTTGAGATGGGGTCTCGCTAACTTTTTGCCAGCTGGCCTCAAATTGTGATCCTCTCAATCACTACCGCCTAAGTAGCTGGATTACAGCTGTGAGCCATCAAACCCAACCCGTGTCTGCTGTATTTTAAAGTTGCCATTTTTAATGGGTCTGTCCTGCTGCAGTGGCTGAGCTCGGCATTTCCTCTTCAGGGAGGCTATAGAGTGGACTCCTGCAAGTTACTGGCGGCCTTCTATATCTCTCCCAATTCTAAAACTCTGTGACTTAGGAGATGACCCTCCCCAAACCTGGCCTTGGCCACTGCCTCACATTCTCGTCACTCTCACTGGGTAGAAAGGGCAGACGGACCAGCCAGCCCTCACCAGTAGCACATAAGCCACTAGAATCACAACTCATCCAGCTGCACTAAGTTTTCTGTTTTATTTTGGTGGTACTAAGGTTTGAACTCAGGCTTCACACTTGCTAGGCAGGTGGTCTACCACTTGAGTCACTCCACCAGCCCTGTTTTATGTTAGATACTTTCAAGATAGGGTCTCAGGAACTATTTGCCCATACTGGCTTTGAACCAAGATCCTCCTGATCTCTGCCTTCCAAGTAGCTAGGATTACAGGTATGAGCCACTGGCACCCTGCTCCTGGATGAATTTGTAACTGGCACTGAACCAGCTGAGACAGCTCAACCCCAACCTGAAATAAAAGACTAAAAGCGGTTCCTTTTAGAAAATGACCTACCAACCTTTCTGTGGAAAGACTCTCTTTCTCTAATGCTTTGGTTTAAGGGAAGAACATGTGGAGATGAAGGAAAGTACACTGGACAATCCCTGAAACTGACAGTTGGGTATCTGTGGCTCCAAGAAGATCCCAAAAGAATGTCATGATTCCTTACCACTCCAACTGAGAGCAATAATAACGACAACATTTACATTCACCAGGGTTTCCTTCCTAGAAGCTCATGATTTTATCTACAGGCCCTCAGTTCTTATGACCCCTCCTGTCATAGCAGAGAATGGCGACAAGGAGGTGATAGGCCTATGCCATGAGCAGCTCCTCAGTCTGCCCTCAGTCAGTCAGCCCCTGAAGGGTGGGCTCAGTGCATGGTGGCAGGGCCACTGGCTGACTCAGCAGCTTGTCCATTACGCTGACTTTAGCATCTTGCTTCTCAATGTCCTCATATGGAGTCCAGGATAGGTCATGCTGTAGCTTGTAGGCACCAAGGAAGTCATGTGGACAATTTGTTCCCCATTCCTAGAGAAGGCAAAGGAGTTAGGTTTCATTATGGTAGAATGAAAAGAGACTGAGTTCTCTTCCTACTTAAGCTACAAATTTCTTTTCTGGCTTTTCACTTCTAACTAGTCACAGCCATCCTTGAAAAGCAGTTACATTACATATCAGATCCTTCCCTTAACAGAGATAATGAAATAATTTAAGCACATATATTTTTTAGTCATGTGTGGGCTAACACCACCCCCATTTTCTTTTTTCTAAATTTAATTTTATCAATATTATTATTATTATTTTATTTTTTTGAGACAGCGTCTTGCTATGTAGCCCAGGCTGGCCTTGAACTCTTGATCCTCCTACCTCAGCCTTCCAAGTGCTGGGATCACAGGCATGACCCACCACATCCAGCTCAATTTGCTAAGAAACCACTTACAAATCCTCATGCCTACATTTTCATACATACATGCCATGAATTTCTCAAGGCTGGGTAGATTTGGGGGCAAGGAATAAATGTTCTTACCTCTGGAGAAATAATGGAAAAGTACCGTTGACCACTCTCACGCTTATAAAGATAGTAAATGTTGCCAGGTTTCTTCACCATATTGCAAGCTACATGGTGCAAGTCAGCATCTCTGCGAGAATCTTCCAGAACCTGCAAACCACAGAAGTGTAATAAATGAAGGGCTGGAGGCGACTGGAACTCATACTCAGAGATCATCCCAGTCAAGATTTGAAACCTTAGGCGGGTATGATGGCCCATACCCGTAATCAGTACTTGGGAGACTGAGGCAGGAGGATGGTGAGTTTGAAACTAGCCTGGGCTACATGGCAAGTCCCTGGCCAGCCTGAGTTACATAGTGAGACCTTGTCTTTAAAAAAAAAAAAAAAAAAAAAAAAAATCCAGGCATGGTGGCACATGTTTGTAATTCTAGTACGCAGGAGGCTCAGGTAGGAGGATCAAGTTTGAGGTCAGGCTGTGCTACCTACTTAGACCCTGCCACAGAAAATCAAAGATGAACAAATGTAAAAACACCTTTTAAAAAACTGAAAACTGTTCAAAACTTGGGATCTTGCTTCCCCACAGCAATGAATCACCATTGGGATCCAAATGATTCCAATGAAATAAAAATTGCATTATATTACCATGCTGAAAAAAAAATGCCTTCAGAAGAACTGTATTTTAAAATGTTGAGCATTACTAATTTGGAGTGGGTCTTAAATTTCTTTCCTCTTTTTCTGTGGTAAGTACATTTCTTTAATAAAGGAAACATTTTTTTTTTTCCTTAAAAGGCTTTACCTCACTTAACTTTCTCCTGGTAAAAACCTTATATTTAATCTCTACTCTGGTCTGGATGCTATTTATTCCCCAAATATTCATATCCTAGGACCTTGGTCACCAGTGTAGTGATGTGAGAGCTGCTGGAGGAGGGAGTGCCTAATGGGAGGCCCCAAGGTTCCTTGTAAGGTGCTGTCCTCAGAAGGGAATACTGGTCTTCTGGAGGGAGTTCTGCTTTGAAGGGGTTGTTTTGGGAGTGTTCTGAGACAAGGTCTCACTATGTAGTGCTGGCCTGGAACTCACTATGTAACCCTGGCTAGTCTTGAGGTTGTGATCCTCCTGCCCCTGGCTCCAGAGTGCTGGGATTACAAGTGTGTACCACCATGCTGGCCTAAAGCTGGGAGCTCTTGAGAGAGTAAGAACAAAAGCATGAGCAAGAGTGTGCTGTTATAAAAGATTGAGCCTGATTCCTGAGTCTCTGGCTTCCTGTTTGGAGATGTAAATCTCTCCTCACACATATGCTCCAACTCTGACTAGACCAGCCAAGAAAACTCTTCCCAGAGCTAAGCTATGGCAGCACCATGTCCTTGAACCTTTAAAACTGTAAGTTGAACAAACCTCTTTTAAAATTAGCCTCAAGTAATTCATCATAGTAACAGAAAGTGCACTAATAAAACCTCTTAGGCTTATTCCTCCTATTTTACTTAAAACCTTTACATGTCTAGGAAGTACTGAAATGATTACAATGATTATAAGAAAGAAAACTAAATGAAGAAAATGAAAGCCTGAGAAGAAGTCTTTCTTACCTTCCTAGCTTGTTCTTGCAAATGTTGGATTTGCTCAGCTATGACTGTCAGCTTGTTGGTAGCATTTGCTCGGATGAACTCATCAGCCTACAGGTAAAACAAAACTGAACTGTGGGGTGAAAAAGTATGAGACTTCTAGGTTGTTCTCATTTAGATCTTAGTGTGAAGAGCTATGCCAACATCCCTGCTTACGCCTAAAGTGTTCTCCCCGTTCTCACTAAGGACACAAAAATTCCACTATTCGAAGGCCCAAATCAAATAACAGTGCTTATGAGAAGCACACCCTGACAAGACCTCATCAAGGATTAAGTACTCCTTCTTGTCTATTTCCATTGCTTCACTCTGAGTATGACTCCAGTCACACATGACTTCTTTGGACCTCCAACATGCCCTGCATTCTTGCTACCAAATATATTGAATATCCCCTCCCTTCCATCTAATATTTTCCCCCTTGCTCTCTGTATGACTAAAACCCACACATTTCTCAGCTCCTCCATTTGCTTTCTCATGTTTAAGCAATTCTGAAAACAGGGATGGATTTTACAATGAAAATTAAGACCCTTGTGATAAGGCTCTTATTACCTTCTAATGTAGGATTCTATATGCATCTGTTAATCTGACCATTATCTCAACTGGATTACTTATATCTTTTTTTTTGGAGGCACCACTTGAGACACTCAGCCCTTTTTTGTGTTGGTTTTTGTGTGTGTGTGTGTTGGGTTTTTGAGATCGGGTTTCCTGAACCATTTGCCTGGGTCTGGCTTTGAACCTTGATCCTCCTGATCTCTGCCTCCTGAGTAGCTAGGGTTACAGGTGTGAGAAGCCACCAGAGCCCAGCTCTTGTATCATACCTTCTTAAATTTTAACTTAGAGTTACATTCCTAACTAATATTTAAAAGGTATTTTAAAAGACTACATTATGAAGCTGGACACAGTGGCTCACATCTATAGTCTTAGCTTCTCAGGAGGTTAAGGGAGGAACACTGCTTGAGCACAGGAGTTCAAGGTTAGACTGGGCAACATAGTGACATATTTTCTCTTAAAAAACAAGCAAACAACAACAACAAAAGACTACATTATGATGTAGACCTGAAACAAAGTTACACTGCAATGGTTAATCTTGATTGGATTTAGAAATGCTTCCATTAGTAAAGCATACCTTTGGGTGTGTTTGAGGGTGTTTTCAGAGAGGATTGACTAAGGGGGAAGACTCACCCTAAAGGTGGGTGGCACCATCCAATCAGCTGGAGGCCCACATGGAATGAAAGGGGGAAAAGAAAACTAGGGAGAGCAGGCATCTGTACTCTCTACTTCCTGTCTGCCATGAAATAAGTAGCCACTGCCACATGCTCCTGTCACTATGATGTACTGCCTCACCACAGTGAATAACATTACGACAAAAATAAATATAATGAAAGCTAGTATGATGTACCACAGTTTCATGGTAGAAACAAGTCAAAGAAATGAATGAAGTAACTAGTTTAATAATAGGGAGTGGTGGGGAATGTAGGAATTGAAATGTGTGTGTAGCATAAAGCTCTTCAAATTCAATTAGTAATACTATCTTTGGAGGTGTGAGCCTTCTTTAGACAAGAAGGCCAATGAGGATGTGACATTTAACTTGGGTCTAATAAGGAAGGGCCAGCAATGCAAAAAAGCAGATAGAAAAAAATCTCCAGGTGTTTTTCTGAGGCCAGCTGTTGCCGAAGAATAAAATGAATGTACAGAATAAGGTTAAAAAAGAGAGCAGGGAGCCAAAACACAGTGGTGCATGCCTATAGTCCAAGCTCCTCAGGAGGTTGAGGCTGAAGGATCACTTGAGCCCAAAGTTCAAGGCCAGCCTGAGCAACAGGGAGACTCTACCTCTTGAGAAAAAAAAAAAAAAAAGCACAGAGACAGATCATTCATACAGATCGTACCTGAAGCTCACACCAAAAGAATTTGCATTCTGTTGCCAATATGGACAATGAGAGAACAGGTGGTTTCTAGAGCTAAGAGAGGTTTAAGTTGGTAATAAATCTCCCTTTTCTTAAGGTGGTGGCAGTATATTTGTTTCCTGTAAGCAAAAGAGCCTGATTAAAACAGAAATGAAGTGGAAAGTGCCTATAATTACTACCCCTAACGCTGGACCCAACCACTGCAAGGACCTTCGCATTAGTATCACATTTAACTCCCAGGACACCCTTATGAAGTAAGAGACCTTAGGAATAGGACTAAACCTAAGGTTTCACAGCTAATGAATGGCAAAAGGAGGATTCAAACATAGATCAGTCTGATTCCAAAATGCATGCCTTAATACCAAGCCTCCTAAGCTTTCTGAGCACATGTTAAGTGGGGTGTCTGTCAGAGGTCAGTCCTGCTAGAAAGTGTATTTCAGTGAGACAAGTAATAACTATGCCTGAATCAATTCGTCTATGTAGTGTTTACTCTTCAGCTCATGAAAGACTGATTACATTGGAGAAATGGAGGCAGCACAATAATGAATTCTTTATAGAATGAAAGACAAAACTATGTTCCTTCTTTCTGTGGTTCAGGCCACTGTAATTAACAATGATGGTCGTTCAGTTAACATACGAAAATGTTGCTTACCCAAGATTTGGTCCCTGGGCAGCCACCCTCCCGATAAGTGATCAGATTAAACAGACACATATTCTCCTAATCCATATAAATTGTACTTTGCTCCCACCTCTCTAAAAAGAGAAGGCACAAGGTCTTAATTAAAAGAGCTTTCGTATTGGGATTTTTCTTATGAGTAGAGATGTTTATGTGACAGAATTTAAGCACATTAATTCTCACTTTTTTTTAAGCAAACAAAGGTTTCTGAACATAATTAAGGTCAAATCTAATCGTGTATACAAGGATGAAGGGATATGGTAAGCTTTAAAGCAGTTAGGCATTAAATCTGTGCATACTGAAGAGGGTTCTACAACTGACAGTCTTGGAAAGAGATGAGAAGAAAAAGTGTTTTTCACTGAATTTGGCTTTTCACGTAAAATCTAGGTGCTCTCCTAATTCAAACTCTCCAGGGAGAAGTAATTTACCTGAGTGGGATATCAAAAGTGACATCAAAGTGGGACATCAAAGGTGGGATTAAGGCATATGGGTCCAGATTCTCAGTGATTTTTCCATTATTTCGCATTTCCTCTTTATTTTACCTATTTTAGAAACCAATACCTAGTGAAGGAAGACACAGGACAAAATTTAGAGTCCTTGCCCTCTGGAAGATACTTCAGTTCTACAAGCTCTTAGGTAACAGGTAAAAATCTTATGGGAAGCAGCATAAAATAAATGAACTATGCATCCTTGAAAAATTTGTATTACAGCGATCTTCGTGCGTGAAATGAGAAGAGTAACTTCTGTACTTTTGACCTCACGAGGCTGTCCTAAGGTACAAATGAAATAATGAATATTCAAGTTCTATGCTAATCTTCCCACGATGGGAGATTATGGCACTCAGGTTGTAGTTGAAGGAGCCTGTGGTGTCAGAAGACCAGTTTGATTCAGGCCACCGATTCGCCATGACAGTCGGTTTTCCTCCAAAAAAGGGAGAGAACAAACGGTACCCCACTTAAGTGTCTGTGAAGTCCAAATCGAAAGACGCAGGACAGACTGCGAATGAAGATGGTGATTCACTTCCCCAACCGCGCCTCCTCACCTTCTGCACCTGCTCTGCGAGCGCCACGAGGTCTAAGGGGTCCCCGACCCGGTGGGTGTGATAAGGGCTCACCAGAGCCAAGCCGCCGGGAGTCGGAGTGAGCTCCACCAGGGCTCCTGTGACACACACCCAGGAACACCGGGGTAAGCTCCCGGCCTTAGCCTCCCGCGAGACCCCAGAGACCAGCTGCCCCGGGTGGGGGGCTTCTTTCCTCTGGGCAGACTTCCTCCCCGCCTACCTCCCTGACCTGCCGCCGCCTGCATTTCTTGAGTTTCCTTGCCTCCCTCCTCCACCTGCCCCGGCGCCGCACAGTCCTCCATGACAGTGCCTTACTCCCACCATCACCGGGTACGCGAGCCGAAGAGCATGCGCAAACGCTTGTGGGCGGGGCTTCCGTATTCCCTGGCCATTGGGTGTCGGAGGCCTGAGATCGGAGGTGGGACTCCAGTTTAGAGACGGGGTTCGGATTGGTTGAAAGCAAAAGAGGCGGTGCAAAGCCTCCTGAGCATGCGGTGTCTGGCTTCCGAGACAGTCCGTTCGGGGCGGGGCTTCGGCGGGGGTGGGACTCCGGCCTCCGTCACGGGTGTTGTGCGGTCCCGTTAGGTCTACTAAGACGATGGCGGCTTGCGTGTGGAGGCTGCTAACCACCCTACTGGCGGTCGCCGCCATGGCTTCCCGAGCCGAGATCGAGTCGGAGGCGGGATGGGACTTGGAGGCGCCTGACTTGCTGTTCGCCGAGGGGACAGCGGCCTATGCGCGCGGCGACTGGGCGGGGGTGGTCCTGAGCATGGAGCGGGCGTTGCGCTCGCGGGCTGCCCTGCGCGCCCTTCGCCTGCGCTGCCGCACCCAGTGTGCCGCCGATCTGCCGTGGGAGCCAGACTCCGGCTCGCCCCCTAGCCTGGCCCAGACACCGGGCGCCTCTGCCCTGCATGACCTGAGCTTCTTCGGGGCCCTGCTGCGCCGCGCCGCCTGCCTGCGCCGCTGCCTCGGCCCGCCGGCCGCCCACTCGCTTAGCGAGGAGCTGGAGTTGGAGTTCCACAAGCGGAGCCCCTACAACTACCTGCAGGTCGCCTATTTCAAGGTGCGGACTTGCTCGGAGCTCGGCGACCGGAGTCTTTCCGGGACAGTAGCAGTTGCAGGCGACCTGGGGAGCTTGGTGATGGGGGGGAGCGGGAGACAGGTAGGGAAGCGTCCGCAGAGAGGGAAGGTGGCCTTCTGATTGTGGAGCTCTCCTCGGACCGAGGAAGAGCAGGGAACCTTCCTGGGAGACTTGTCTCTCCCGTTTCTCACCGACACATGCTCATCCTAAAGCTCCAGCCAGAGGTTAGGCCTTTTAGAGGGAACTGAAGGGGCAGCTTGGGTCTCCCATCCTGTCTTCATTGTAAGGGTCCAAGTGAGAAGCCAGGAGCTTTATGGAGTATCTTCCGGTTTGTTCTCCAATGATGCTTTTCCTCTTTCAGGACGTGGGAGTGCCACGTCGCCAGCAGGGGCTGCTTGGCTCCTCCCTGTGGGGTACCCTCAGGCTAGTCTATCAGTTTATAAGAAAATGGATATTTTTAGGGATGCCACAGTCCAAGCATACAAATGGGCTTGGAGGCCACCAGGCTCATGTGGTGGTGGTGATTGGCGGGCGTGCGATTCCACCGCACGATTTTAAGGTCTTTGCGTTTATGAGCTCATTTGCTCTGATCCTCACGGTATCCTGTGAGGTGAATGCTACTCTCAGTCCCATTTTATTGAGGAAGAGAGAAAAAGAAGGAGCCGTGCTACATATATGTTGTACCCATGGTTTAACAGACCTTCAGTTCAACCTAAAGAGAGACTAAGAGACTCTTGGGAACCTCAGATTTCCACTTCTACAGGAGCATTCTGCTGCGTATTTCCCCTCCATTCCTGCTGGTTACTTGGAAGAACACTGGATTTACAAGTCCAAAATAATCGGGCTGTGACTTTGGTCATGTCACTTAACAACACTACTTAAAATTCTTTGGCAAACATTTATTGAATACCTACTATGTTTCAGTTCTTGGACAGATGATTACAATGCCTGTCTGTTTTGTAGAGCTTTGCTGCTAAGAGTCATTGTAGTAAGGACTCCCAAAAGGGTATGTAGATAGGGCTGTGGGGGCACAAAGGAAGGAGACTCTAACTTTGCCTTAGAAATTAGAGGAGGTGACATTGAGCCTGTCCTCAATATTGCTGGAGAGAGAGGAAAGATGGCTGTTCCAGACACAGGGAAAAGTCCATTGCTGTAAGTCAAGTGTCTAGATGTGTGTGAAGAGCAGCAGGAGAGGTAACTAGAAAGTTTAGTGAGGCCAATCAGATTCAGAGGTAAATTCTGCAGGTTTCAGGCAGCTGTCATCAGATTGGGTTTTAGAATGCTAACTCTGGAAGCCATATGGAATAAACCTTGGAAGGAGAAAGTCATGACAATGCAAACAACTAGGAGAATTAGGAGACCTGTACCTTTGTCCACCAGGGGAAGTTGGGTGCCAAGGCCTAAGAGGTAAAGAAGGTCTGGGGGAAGAGAGCTGAGTGAGGAAGAAGAGAAAGGCAGGAGCAGTGCTGCAAGATAAGGGAGAATAAATCCATAAAAGGGACAGGTGAGAGAATTTCTAATTTCATAGTTAAAGAAATAGATACAGAGATGTGTAATCATTACTTTGAGTCACCTATCCATGCCTGTCTCATTTAATGTATGTTTGTTAGTAATGTTGATAAGAAAGAAAGAAAGAAACTTCTTAGCACCTTAGGATAACCGCCTAACGTTTATTGAACATTCCTACGTTGAGTCACCATGCTTTCGAAGCTGCAGGTCCATCTCTTTGAACCCCCTCCCCACAACAATCCCATGAGGAAGGTAGTAAATGCTATCTCCAGGTGACAAATTAATGTTGAACAGCAAATATTAAGTAACTGTCTAAAGCCTAGCAAGTGAGTCATTAAACCTAGATTTGTTCCTGGTCTGTCTGACACCAAAGTCGACTAGCTCCTCAGTGATTTATTCTGGATTCTTTATATGAAACTGTGTTCCTTCAATATGCTGGAATCCATTGCTGTGGCCACCATTGTAGCTTGTAGCACAGTTTTTATTTATTTATTTATTTATTTGTGATGTTTATTTATTTTGGCAGTACTGGGATTCAAACTCAGAGTCTCATGCTTGCTAGGCAGATTCTCTACCACTTAAACCACTCCACCAGCCCTGTAGCACAGTTTTTCCTCTTAGATTTTTTCATAGCCTTTTGTTTTAATCTCATGAGCTCTGGGCTGTGAGTCAGAAGACATCATGTCTAGATTTTGTAAAGGGCCTTGTGATGTTTCAGCTATTTTTTGCCCTAAATGTGTCAAAAAAAAAATCTCTTGATTTTATTTTATGCAAAAAATAAATAAGCTTTTTCCTTTTTTTTTTTTTTTTGTTAGCCATACTGGGGCTTGAACTCAGGGCCTCACACCTGTTGCTAGGCTTGCTAGGTAGGTGAACTATCATTTGAGCCACTCCACCAGCCCTGTTTTGTATTGGGTTTTTTTTGAGATAGGGTCTCGTGACCTATTTGCCTCGGGCTGGCTTTGAACCCTGATCCTCCTGATCTCTGCCTCCTGAGTAGCTAGGATTATAGGCATGGGCCACCGGTGCCCTTTTGTAGGTGAATTCTTCAACACAGTTTAATTACTAACTGCTCTTTCTGCCCTATTGCTAAATGCTTGCTTTCTTAGACTTTCTTCAGCTCAGGCACTACAGTTGAATCTAAAGACTGTTACTTAGCTAGTCAGTCTTCATAGCACACCCCTACAGTATGCCCTCTGTTTTAAAGTAGAACATTTACACTGCATCATGTAATTTTGGGAGCCCCTAAACGTTACTTAGGAAATGGCTGCCAATCTGCCCAGGACACTGTGCTATAATGCTGTGGTTTGTGGTCTGTGCAATAGGGGTGTGTCTTCTCAGGCTGGTAGAGGTTAGGCATGCTGAGTGAAGGTTCAGGGAGGCTGAGATTTCCTATTTACTGTGGACCACACATCTGGACACAAACTTTCAGAGTTTGAAAATGATAGCTGTGTGTGGTGGTAAACATCATAATCTCAACATTTAGGAGACTGAGGCCAGCCTGGGCCAAGAAAAGAAGAGTCTCAAAAAAAGCAAAAACTAAAACAGAATTGGAATGTGAAAATTACATTCTGGTGCTTCATCCTTAGATAAACAAGCTGGAGAAAGCTGTAGCAGCAGCACACACCTTCTTTGTGGGCAATCCTGAGCACATGGAGATGCGACAGAACCTAGACTACTACCAAACCATGTCTGGAGTGAAGGAGACCGACTTCAAGGATCTTGAGGCCAAACCTCATATGGTGAAAAAGACTATCTCCTTCTCTCTCTCTCTTTTTAAAATTTTATTTATTTACTTTTAGTTTTTGGCCTTTGTGTGTGTGTGGCAGTACTGGGGATTCAATGCAGGGCTTCATGCTTGCTAGGCAAGCACCCTAAGTTTTTGGTCTTTTGAGATAGGAACTCACTATGTAGCACTGAACTCATGATTCTCTGGTCTCAGTCTCTTGAATGCTGGGATTACAGGCATGGGCCACCATGCCCAGCTTCTTTTTTCTTTTAAAGTAGCATTTACTAGGTTTTTCTAATTATACAAGTAATGTTAGAAAAGTGCATCTAGGTATAAAATAGAATGTAATGCTGTCACCTTAAGAAAACCAGTAGTTGACCCCAGTACCAACAAAAAAAAAAAACAGAAAAAAAAGAAAACCAGTAGTTGGTATTTTGCTCTATTTGTTTAAGTCTCCCATGCTTGCAAAGCAGGCACTCTATGGCTTGAGCCACACCTCCAGTCCATTTGCTGTGGATATTTTGGAGATGAGGGTCTCTCAAACTATCTGTCCAGGCTGGCCTCAAACCATGATCCTCCTGGTATCCAAGTAGCTAGGATTATAGGCATGAGCCATTGCAGCCTGGCTTCCATACCAAATTTTTTAACCTAATTTGATATTATATTGTATGTGTATTTTTATCACCCTTTTGAACTAACATTCTAATAGCATTTTTATAAAGAGCATATGTTCTTTTGCATCTTAATAGCTTAGAAATCAAATTATTAATTTGCTAATAAAATGTTAGAAAAAGAAAAGAAATCAAAACATTAGAGGGGCTGAGGGTGTAACTCAGTGATAGAAAGTATGCCCAGCACCAAACGTGTGTGTGTGTAGGAGTACTAGAAGCACTATCAGAATGATACCACACACACATGGTACTAGGGATTCAATCCAGGGCCTTGTACATGTTAGCCAAGCAGTCTACTGCTGAGCTACATCCCCAGTCCCAGAATGACT